GTCAAAAAGCTCACAATTTTCAGTTTTAATGTTGTCTTTATTTCTACAAAATAAGTATTTTAAAAAAAGGATGAATTATGTCTGTTTGTCATCAATGTGCATTGAATGTTAACATGTATGGTTAATTTGTGAAATAAATATGTAAATTATTTAAGTCCATCACTTCTTGTACTTTATTCATTTCACAGACCTATCTAAAATACAAAAAAGAATCTGTATAGTTTTTCTGTCATAAATATTCAGGAACACACAAAAGTGCATTAATTTTTTCCACGCTCCCATTATAAAGCATTCTTGTGTATTAGCATGGGTTTCATTCTGAAATTTATTTTTATATTTTACTTATTGGGCCAAATTCTGTCACCCATTCTCAAATTCACTTGCACAATTTATTACTGTTTTAGCAAGGCTGGTAAGTAATACCAAAGGACTGATATAATCTTTTATTTTTTACCTAAGCATCTCTTCTCTGCTGTTAGTCATTGTATGCACTGTGCTATGTCATGTATATTCTGGCATTCGTGGCAAAACTAATAAGTTTTAAACTAATGAAAAAGAATTGGGTGTGACATAGTCTGTTCCTTTTTGTTGGAGTGTAGTAAAAATTATTGTCTCAATAAGTTTTTAAATTTAACGTACTCTAATTGAGAAGCTTATCAAGGTTCCATCTTAAAGTTCCTAGAGACATTTATCCACTCACAATTTTATTCCTTTTTTAAACTCTCGTATCTTTCCATGTTGAATACTGTGGTCCTTAAATGAGCAAACTTGTAAGGACAACAGTATTTGATTTCCAAAGATTTTCTTTGCATCATGCTTCTCAGAGATTGCTTGTACCATTCCTGGAAGTCTGAGATTTCACTGATGTTTTTATTGTCAAGCATCTGCAGAGAATGGCATGTTCTTCATCTCCACTTCCTCTCACTTTTAAACCATCATTAGAACCAGAGTGGTCCAACATATATATGGGTAACTTCAAAAGGGCAAGAAAAATTTTAAAGTGCTCTGTCTTCTTTTTCTCTCTTTTATTGTGGTAGTTTTAATATGCCATATTGTGACAGGGAGGAGTTCATAAGCAGAGATTTAAATCAGTGCAGACTTGTGATTTTTGTAATAATGGTGCTGTAAACTTAAGGGTCTAATGACAAAACCAGGACAAAACTGGTAAGAGAGAGGTAATCTCTTGGTGTATTAGACAAAAGATAGAGTTTAAAGAGATGGACTATGCACCAGAATAAAAGTCAGTGTGCTGAAAAGATTGTAGGATTGTTGGTTGTTTTTTCGTTTGGCAGGGTTTTTTTTCAATTCTTATTCTAGCATTCTGCTTTTTTCTTGGTGTTTTGAATTAAATCAAGGTCTTATGCTGTTCTGCTCTACTTATTTGTATAGATGTACATACAAATATGTATGACACATACCACTTTATATATACCACATACCACTTTAATTATACCTGTGAAATGCATCAATGTTGGCTTGATTGTTACTTGCACGATGCACCCTGGGGGGGTATGCCTAACCCATACTGTGATGTCAGGTTTAAAGAGACATCCATGCTGATCCAGATAGGAAATTCCTAAGTAACCTGACAGCACAGCATGTCTTGCTGGTTTTGGCAGGTGTGTATTTGACACCAAGGGGACCTCATGTTCGTTGCTAGCTGTTGTACAGTATAGGGAAAGCCTCCAGCTATAAAAAAATAGTTTCCCTAACACTGCTTATTGTTAGCTATGAGTGTTTTCATAAATATTCTAGTAAAACTGAACAATTTTTTTCCATACAGACATCGCTAGGTCTCTTATTGCCTCTTCTGAGGATGGAAGAAATGAAGGCTACAGCAGCGGCCTTCAGTTTCCTGATAGAGAAAAAACACTTGAATTTGAGCCTGGAAAACCAGTTTATGTCAGCAAAGAAACAATGAAAATGGAGGAAGAGGGGAAAGCCCCTGTTTTCCTCAAACAGGTCCCGAATGTTGAAGTTTGGCAGGGAGATGTAGCTAGGCTCTCTGTTACTGTTACTGGCAGCCCCAAACCCAAAATCGAGTGGTTTTTCAACAGTCTGAAGCTAACCTCGTCTATGGACTGTAAGTTAGTGTTTGCTGGCAATGACCATAGCCTCATCCTCCCATATGTGGGTGTGCAGGACGAGGGTAAGTACACGTGTGTGGCCAGCAATGTACACGGTGAGACCACATGCAGCACCCACCTCCGTGTGCGGCAGCGGACACCGGGATTCCCTTGCTTTGCCAAGGAGCCCGACAGCGTGCGGTGTGCCCCGGGCTCCACTGCAGTCTTTGAGTACACAGTGGCAGGGAAGCCAGGCCCCGATGTGCTGTGGTTCAAGGGGAGCGAGCAGCTCTTCTCTGATGTGCGTCGTTCCATTGCTCACCACCCTGACGGTTCAGGCTCCCTGACAGTGTGAGACTGCATGGAGGAGGACACTGGGCTCTACACGTGCAGGGCAGTGAGTGCTCTGGGCGAGGCCATGTGCTCTGCTGAGCTCCTTGTGCTGCCCGAGGAGCATGCTGTGTGCAGGCAGAGCCCGGCCTTGCAGCATTCTGCAGTGGTAGAGGACCAAAGCCCCGTCTTCTATGAGGAGGCTGGTGAGCTTCCTGCTGTGGAAGGAGCGCTCAGTCTTGAGGCCATGAGGAAGCCTCTGGCCCTCCTTCAGCTCCAGATGAGCCAGGCAGTGCATGTGTTGCCCAGGGAGGACATCTTGCCTGGCCTGCCACCAACCTGTCTGGCTGTGCAGAGTGTTGAAGAGATGCTCACTCAAGTGGCCATAACACAAGAGAGTTGTAGGGTTCTGGTAGAAGCACAGCAAACCCTCCCTGGTGGCCCACAGGGTGTGGTGCCTGCAGCAGCAACAGAGACACAACTGCCAGACTGCCTTGGGACTGTAGCTGTACACATACCCTTGATCAAAGAGAAAATCATCCCCAAGGCAGCAGAACAACTGGCTGCTCTGAAGACAGAGGTTTCCCAAGTCCTTCTACAGGTATCAAACACCAATGAGAGTTGTGCCATAGAAGGTGACCAAATCCAGGTCCTTGAAAGCTTTCAGGCAACACAAGGTGAGCTGAAGGCTGAACCCAGATTTCTCTCTGAATTGGCCTTTACTGGGGGCCAAGCTGTCCCTCTGGAGAACATTTCTTCCCTGGAAACAGTAGAGGAAGATTTTGCTGCAAGAATACATGAGGGACAGGCTGTGAGATTTCCCCTGCTCCTGGAAGAAAATCAGTTCCTGGAGGAGGAACACGTTGATCTTTCCAGCCCACCTAAGCAGTGGAAAACAGCATCGAGACAACCCCATGAAAAAATGCACTCTGACCAGCTCCAGCCCAGCCAAGTCCTCAACAAAGGGAATCAGCTCACTGCTCTTGTTCCCAAGAGCTGCAACTTGGACATAAAGTCTCAAATTAAAAATGCACTTAAAGCTACAGTAGTAAGTGAGAAAAACCTCTTGTTTTCAGAATGGTTGGCTGATAATGAAAATGTTGAAGTGCAGACAATAAACATCACCAAGGAGAATACACATACCTTGTGTACCTATGTTGTGACCACAGGACGATGCAGTCCCATAGAAATCCCAGTCTCCTTGGGAGACTTCAGCATTCAGACAGCTGACCAGAAAACAGTTTTGAAGGAAGCTTTTTATTCTCTTTGTGAAGATAAACATCTCTTGACAGATGAAAAATGCAAAACATTTCCATTCTATCCCAATCTACTTCTCCCAGGAAAACCCTGTGATGAAACCTCTGAGCTGGAGCCCCAGCAGGCTGAGAGTACTATGGAGGCAGAAGTACCGTTGGAGCAAGCTTTGCCTACACAACTAATCAACACTGTGACTGGGCGTGGTCAAATCAAGGATGTGGGTATGGCTGTAGCCACTGCTGATGTAGCCTCTGCAGGTCTTCCTACTCAGACACCCACAGAAATATTGAAAAGGAAAGAGAAAAGGGAAAAAATATGTGAGGAAGAGAGCAGAGAGGATCTGGAAACTAGAGCTGGGAAGTTGCAGGCTGAGCTGGGCAAAGAGAGTTGTCCCATCATACACAACAAACTGGTAGACACTGTTGTGGAGGAAGAGGAGAGTGTCAGGCTGGTCTCTGTCATAACAAATGTCAGTGAGGTGAACTGGTACTTTGAGGGTAAACTGGTATCTTCAGGCAACAAATTCAAGTGTTTGCAAGATCAGGACACATACACACTAGTAATAAACAAAGTGTGTGCGGAGATTCACCAAGGAGAGTACACCTGTGAGGCACTGAATCAAGGTGGAAAAAGAGCAACAGCAGCAAAACTCACAGTTGTTAAAAGAGGTTGGATTATGGGGATAAAATACTGCCTTTTTAATGCACTGCTCTACTAATAAATCTGCCCTACTATGTGTCTGTACTTTGGATATGGATACAATATTAATACCATCATGCCACTAATCAGAGGGTCCCCTTCTCTCTGGATTGATGGTCTCCTTTTACCACATCGCAAAGCCTCTCACTTCTGTTATCCCAGTCTTTGGTCAGGAACTTTGTTGCTTCATTGCACAAGCATGGTCAGGACAAAGCTGTATCTCAGTCTCAACCACTTCTCCCATTGTTGCCTGGGAAGTGGACCTACTCTTCCCATTTTTCCCACTACTGCACCCTCTTTCACTCCTTAGAGTCATTGCACAGATTCACCACAATTTCTTATTCACACCATTATTTCTCACAAATCCAGGATAGTGTACCGTATATCCCATTGCTATTGTGCATTGCTATTTCACTTTATTTTTCCAGTATCATCACAGTGTTTCCTGATGTCATTAGGCACCGTAAGACTGTCTGTCCACTGAGCCTAGTACTGCTTTCATTTCTTACAGATATTTTTTTTACAGTCACTTTATGTGAATTGCAAGTATGTCACCTTTTCCTTTTTTTTTTCAGTCAGTCACTTCACTGTTATTTTTCAGAATGTCAGCAGGCAGAGTTTTGAGTTAATCTCTGCTTCTGATTTCAGTTGCACCTATCCTGAGGAGAAGGCTGGAACCCCTGGAGGTGGCTGTAAATCATGTGGCCAAGTTTACCTGTGAGGTGGAGATGGCTCCCAATGTCAAGTTCCAGTGGTACAAAGCCGGACGAGAGATATATGATGGGGACAAATACTCCATTCGCACTTCCAACTACCTCTCCACGCTGGAGATCCCAAGGCCTCAAGTTGTTGACTGTGGAGAATATAGCTGTAAGGCTTCCAATCAGCATGGCAGTGTAAGCTCTACAGCTGTTTTAACAGTAACTGGTAAGTACAGACTTCCAAGAACAACTTCTCCATAAAATATCTTGGTGTGTTGTAATGCTTTCACTGCTATACTTACACTTGTGGGGTTCTTGATTGCTATTATAGTACGTAATCCGTACCTAATGTTGGCAGGCATAAGCACAGAGAAGGAATAACTTTTGAGAATGCTGCTTTCCGGTGCTTTCTGTGCATAGAAAAGGGAATCAGTGTGAAAAGTTTCAGAAGGAAAGAAAAAAGAGAAAAGAGAGCAGGAGGAACAAGACTGTCAACCGAATAAGATTGCTTTATGAATACATTCTTGAAAAAGGTTTATTTAACTTCTAGACGACAAGACTTTTAAATCTGAGTTCTTAGTGTAATAGTCACTGTGTGATTATCCTAGCACCCTATGTTTATCCTGCAGCTATACTTGCGACGCAGGTTATGCAGCTCTGCATACCTGAACATCTTTGTGCTGTGGCCAAAGGGGAACTCTGTGATTGGGCAAATAGATCTTCTTAAGCAAACGAAAGAGGGTAAAGGGTTTCAGTTTGCAAACTTTTTATCTAATGAGAGCTATACAATTCTTTTTTTTCTTTAAACAAACAAACAAAGAACCCAACAACAAAACAAAACAAAAAAACAAACCACTGTCTTTTGGGCATTTAGTGTATGACGGTTTTTTTACTCTGACTTTTCTCTTTGTGGGAGGAGTCTTCATTTGGTCTTTACTAAGTGCTAGCTGTTAGCTAGACTAATGCAAGATGCGTGAACTGTGAAATGCGTGCAAACTGACCCGCCTAGAGAGAACAGTACGCAAACATGTCAGTCTTGGGGGAGGAATTTCTGGCTTTTGGGTTATTTGCCTTTAGTTCGTAAATTGCTCCAGAGATTCAAAATTCAAGCTCTGGAGCAATATATAGACCGAAGAAGTACCAACCAAAAGCCAAAATTTACCATCTTTAACGCCTCTTTTCTCCTTCGCTGCTGGTTTCTTTTGCTTAAGAGTGTCCAGTGACAAGCTGGCCTCTCTTGCTCTCTGTCACTGGCAAATGTGAAGAAAGAGCATAGGCTCTGTTCCTCACCTCTGGATAACATTGAACCCCTTTGTTTTGCAGAAGCACTTCCACCAACGTTTCTTACCAGACCTGAATCTATCACTACTTTTGTGGGCAAAAGTGCCAAGTTCCTCTGTACTGTTTTGGGCACTCCAGTCATCGACGTCACCTGGCAGAAAGATGGCACGACAATTTCACCTTCAGACCACCATAAAATCTCCAAAATGGAAAATAAACATGTTTTAGAAATTTCCTTTCTCACCACCAGTGACAGAGGGGTTTACACATGCAAAGCTTCCAACAAGTTTGGGGCTGATATTTGCCAGGCTGAAATGGTCATTATAGACAAGCCCCACTTCATTAAAGTTTTACAGTCAGTGCAGTCAGCAGTTAATAAAAAAATACGTCTTGAATGTCAGGTAGATGAAGACAGGAAAGTAACTGTAGGGTGGACAAAGGATGGAAACAAAATCCCTCCAGGCAAAGATTATAAGATTTGCTTTGAAGACAAAATAGCCTCGCTTGAGATTCCTCTGGCTAAGCTCAAGGATTCGGGCCACTATGTGTGCACTGCCTCAAACGAGGCAGGAAGCAGCTCCTCTTCTGCCAGCGTCACAGTCAGAGGTAAGCTAGTTCTACGCTACCTTTACCTTTCCTCTTCTTGAGTTCCCCATTTCTTCTTTTTCAGGCAAAAGACTTCTTTGGGCTGAAATTACACCAAATTCTTCTCAGACCTGCTGCACTGTCCGTTCCCCTCTAACTCATTTTCCCTGTTGCCTTCCAGTGCACCATGTGTTACTTCAATATTTTTTTCACCAGAGAAATCCAAGAACTGCTCCTGCATGCAGGGGAGAGATGAAAAAAGAGGACAGGCAAAACCACAGGAGCTGCAGTTCTGTGAAGATTTTGCTGGTGTCTTGTGAACTCATATTTTGTTCTTGTTCAAGGAACCAATCTTTCAAAGTCTTGTATTTCAGCCTTCTTTCCTTTTTCCCTTTCCCTTTTCCATTTCTTTACCCTTTCCTTTTCCGTTTTCTGCCCCTTTTTACCATCTCTTCCTCTCTCTTCCCTTTTCCCATTTTTAGAACCACCATCCTTTGTGAAGAAGGTCGATCCATCTTATTTACTGACCCCAGGTGACTCTGCACGCCTTCAATGCAAAATCAAAGGGTCTCCTGAAATCCAGGTTACTTGGTTCAAGAACAACAAGGAAATCCATGAAAGCAACACACACAGGATGTCCTTTGTCAATTCTGTGGCTGTGTTAGATATTTTGGAGATGAAAGTTGATGACAGTGGGACCTACTCATGTGAAGTTGTAAATGAGGTTGGAAGTGACAGCTGCACCACTGAAGTGGTTGTCAAAGGTCTGTCCTTCTTGTTGCTGCCAGTCACTTTCTTGAGAAAAACCTTCCCTTCTTTTTTTTTTTTTTTTTCTGGCAAGGTTGACTAATTCTTTCTTGCTGCTTTTGTAGAGCCTCCATCTTTCATCCGAACACTTGAACCTGCAGAGGTAGTGAAGGGAACAAACACCGTTCTTCAGTGTGAGGTTGCTGGCACTGGACCATTTGAGATTAGCTGGTACAAAGACAAGAAACAGATTCGCAGTAGTAAAAAATACAGGTTGACCTCTCAGAAAGCTGTTATTTCTCTGGAGGTGTCTGCATTTAATAGTGCAGATGTTGGTGAATACGAGTGTGTGATAGCTAATGAAGTCGGAAAGTGCATGTGCAGTGCCACATACATCTTGAAAGGTCAGTAGGAGAGAGAAAACTCCACTTACTGATGGGATTGGCAAAAACTTCTTATTTCTTAAAATGTCTTTTCTTTGGATTTGGGGGTGGCTGGGGAGAATGGGAGTATCTTCTTCTCTTAAATTCTTTGTGTGCCTTAACTCTTATCTGGCATCAAACCTGTGAATTTGAAGGACACTGAGATTAAAGGGCCATGCATTAACTCCCAACTGGAGAATGCTGCTCTTCTACTTGCTTGCTCTTTTGTTGAATTGCTATGTGTATTGTACGTACTGTCTTACAAAACTGTCTTGAAGTTGCAGATTTCATGAGATGATGCACTAGCAAATAAGTATTTTTTCTTCTCTCTCTTCTTTGAACTAGAACCACCGTCTTTTGTTAAGAAAATCGAAAATGTGACAGCTCTGGCTGGAGATAGTATTACGTTACAGGCCGTGGTGAAAGGGTCAGAGCCGATTTCTGTAATGTGGATGAAGGGCAAAGACATTATTAAAGATGATAACAATGTGAGAGTGACATTTGATCATGGTCTAGCAACGCTGCAAATTACTGGTGTCCAGCTGAGCTCTGGTGGCAAATACACCTGCGTGGCTGAGAATGATGCAGGAAGTCAGTCCTGCTTTGGTGAACTAGCAGTGAAAGGTTAGTGGAGAAGGGCCATGATCCCCACAGTCTCCCACCTGAGAGAAAGAGCAATTTCCTTTTGTCCTTAACACCAGTTGTTTAATTCTGTTGTAGAACCTGCCAAAATAATTGAAAAAGCTGAAGTTATCCAGGTTACAGCAGGGGAACCAGCTATTTTGGAGTACACTGTCACAGGCACTCCAGAGCTAAAAACCAAATGGTTCAAAGACGGAAGGCTACTACCTGCCAGCAAAAAATATAGGATCAGCTTCAAAAATAACATTGCCCAGCTCAAGTTTTATGCTACTGAAATGCAGGACAGTGGCGAATACACCTTTGAGATATCCAATGATGTGGGCATCAGCTCTTGTACTACCAGCTTCACTGTGCTAGGTTGGTACTGACCCTTTCCAAAGAGTCCTGTTGCTCTGCCCTGCACCACCCAACAGAGCCAGAAGCAGAAGAACATACCTGTTTTGCTCATGTGTTTGTTTCTGTAATTTTTTTCACTCTCAACAGATCGCACTCTCCCTCCCTTCTTTACTAAACCACTGAAGAATATTGACAGCATCATTAACACCTCGTGCCGCCTAGACTGCAAAATTTCAGGTTCTCTTCCAATGACCGTCTCTTGGTTCAAGCAGGACACTGAGATCACTACAAGTGCCAAGTACACAGTACATTTTGCAGAAGGCTCAGCATCTTTGGAAATCAAACACCTAGATGCAACTGATGCTGGGGTCTACATTTGCAGAGCCGCAAACTCTGCTGGTAGCAAAGAGAGCAGTAGTACATTGTTTGTAAAAGGTTTGGCAATTCGTTTCACATTTCTTGGAATTTTGTTTTTCGTGTGATAATACTTTTCTTTCCCAAACTGCAGGCCATGTGTCTTACTCTTGACAATTTTTTCCTTTCAATGCAATCTAGAACCACCCAGCTTCACTGTAGAACCAGAGTCTCAAGATGTACTGCCTGCATCAACCGTACATTTCAAAGGCACATTTAAAGGCACAACACCACTGACAGTGAAATGGTTTAAAGGTGATACTGAGCTCGTGACAGGAGGAGCCTGCTACATTATGACAGAAGCATTAGCAAGTTACTTGGAGCTTTATGCAGTCAAACCAGCAGACTCTGGAAAATACACCTGCAAAGTCTCCAATGTAGCTGGTTCAGTAACATGCAGTGCAAACTTGTTTGTAAAAGGTTTGCATTCTTACTCTCTTTTAAAATTCTAGCTGCTGGATTGACCCAGTGGCGCTCTTTCCTACTTTCTTTGTCCTGAACGTTCTTCTTAAATCCACAGAACCTGCTGCCTTCAAGGAGAAGCTAGAGCCGACCCATCTGGTAAAGAAAGGTGGATATGTTGAGCTGACCTGTGAAGTCACTGGTACTCCTGAGATTAAAATCACATGGTTCAAGGATGATAGAGAGCTAAAAGAGAGTGAAAAATACAGGATGTCTTGTGCAAAATCTTTGGCAATACTCCATGTTTCAGAAGTTGATACTGAAGACAGTGGAGAATATATTTGTGAGGCCAAAAATGATGCTGGAAAAGATATTTGCAGTAGTGTTGTTACAGTCAAAGGTGTGTGTGACATCCAACCGCACAGTTTGTCTTTTTAAATTCAGTACAGTGTTAGAGGCTTCAGAAGTCTGACTAACACAATTGCACTCTCTTTTTGCACTGTAGAGTCACCCTATTTTAGCAAGGAGTTTCAGTCCATGGAAGTCTTGAAGGATTCTGATGTGGTTTTGGAGTGTGAGGTGCTTGGCACGCCTCCCTTTGAAGTGTTTTGGGTGAAAGATGATAAACCCGTGCGGAGCAGTAAGAAGCACAGAATAAGCATTGAAAAATCTTTGATTAGTCTCCACGTTTTCAGGTTTGATGCTTCTGATGTTGGCGAGTATCAATGTAGAGTAACAAATGATGTTGGGAGCTGCCTCTGCAGTTCAGAGGTCACACTGAAAGGTTAGTTCAAGGTGTAGAACACCACTAGCATGCTTTTAGCCCAATGTGGTATCTATGCCACAGTTGTGCACCAAACCCATACTTACATAGCCACTTTCTTCCTGCCAGAGCCTCCACAGTTTTTGAAGAGGATAGAAAACATTAGTTCCCTTCGAGGGGGCACGGTTGTGTTTCAGGCTGCTATTAAAGGCTCCTTGCCCATCACTGTGTCCTGGTTGAAAGACAATGATGAAGTGATTGAAGACAGCAATATCAAAATGACCTTTGTGAACAATGTTGCCACTCTTCTGGTGAGATCTATTGAGCTGAAACATGATGGGAAATATTTTTGTCAGGCTAAAAATGAGGCAGGAATTCAGAGGTGTTCTGCTCTGCTGACTGTCAAAGGTTGGTCTTACCCTGAGGGCTTGCAGTGATCATAGATGGTTCCCTTGTGATTTTTACAGATGCCCTTAACACTCTATCTCCTTGTTTACAACAGAACCTGCTACAATTGTGGACAAGGCCGTGTCAATAGATGTGACTGAGGGAGACCCAGCAACCTTGCAGTGTAAATTTTCGGGAACAAAACCTATTACAGCCAAATGGTTCAAAGATGGCAAGGAACTGACATTAGGCCCAAAATATAAGATCAGTATTACAGATACTGTCTCAGTCCTAAAGGTGCTTCATGCAGAAAAGAAGGATAGTGGAGAATACACTTTTGAGGTTCACAATGACGTTGGGAGCAGTAGCTGTTCTGCCAGCATTAATGTCCTAGGTGTGTATGGGCTTTCTCTTACCATTGTTTTTAGATTCAAAATCTTTTCTCCTGAGCTGATATCTGTCACAATCAAGGCTGAATTTCATACTTTGTCTTTTTACTCTGTCTTGGATAGATCTCATTATACCACCTAAATTCACAAAAAAACTCAAGAAAATGGACAGCATTAAGGGGTCTTTTGTCCACCTGGAGTGCATAGTGTCTGGTTCACATCCTATAAGTATCCAGTGGTACAAGGATGGCCAAGAAATAACAGCAAGTGAAAAGCACAAATATTCTTTCCATGATAATACTGCATTTCTGGAAATAAATAAACTGGAAGGCACAGACACTGGCTCTTACACCTGTGAAGCAACAAATAAAGCAGGAAGCAACCAATGCAGCGGATTCTTAACAGTCAAAGGTCTGAGTTCCTTCTTTGTCTTGTGTTAGGGGTCTCATTCATAATTTTGGATTTCCCTGTCTCAGTGTAATCCCCTTTCTTCCTTTTTGCATGTTATAGAACCTCCATATTTTGTGGAAAAACCCCAATCTCAAGAGGTTGTGCCCAGTGCTAGGGTTCAGTTCAAAGCACTGGTGAAAGGGTCTACTCCTCTGCAGATAAAGTGGTTTAAAGACAGCCAGGAGCTCCTGTCTGGAGCCAATCGATCTGTCTGGAAGGATGACACATCTAGTGTACTGGAGCTCTTCTCAGCTAGAACGTCTGATTCTGGGAACTACACTTGTCAGATAAGCAATGATGTGGGGACTGCAACTTGCAAAGCAACTCTGTTTGTAAAAGGTGTGCAACCCAATCTCCTCATTTTTTTGGTTCTGATTTTTCTGTGCAATTTTTTGGGGGGGGGGGGGAGGAAACCTTTTTATTTCTTTAAATTCTATATTTTATTCCCACCTTAAATATTAAAAGCCTCAACTTCTCTGTCCATCTTCTAGAGCCCCCCAGATTTATTCAGATGCCAACTTCTGTAATAGCTTTGCGTGAAGGACAGTCCACCACTTTCGAGTGCCAGGTAGTAGGCACACCAGAGATCCACATTACATGGTACCTGGATGGGAATGAAGTGACTGACCAGGCTAAGTACGGCATCTCCTTCATAGATGGATTAGCCACTTTGAAAGTCACTCAAGCCAGAGTGGCAGATAGTGGGATTTATGTTTGCGAAGCCCACAATGATGCAGGTAGTGAGAGCTGCAGCGTTGAGCTGAAAGTAAAAGGTTAGTTTTGAACATCTTGTCGTCTATGTCACATATCTGGGATGAGGAAGTAGGAGATACTTCTTCTCCCCTCAAAACTGTTTAAGGTTACTATCTACTAAAGGTTATTATCATTCTTCTTTATAGAGCCTCCAACCTTTGTTCGGGAGTTGAGTCCCACCAAGGTAGTGAAGGGCTCAGAGGCCACACTAGAGTGTGAGGTGACTGGTACTCCTCCATTTGAGGTGAAGTGGCTGAAGAACAATAAGGAGATGTTCAGCAGCAAGAAATATGCTATCTTCACCAAAGAATCAGTATTTACTCTTAATGTGACTAACTGTGATGTCTCAGATGTTGGTGAATATCAGTGTATTATATCAAATGAAGGTGGGAGCTGTTCTTGCAGCACAAGGCTCAGCTTGAAAGGTCAGTCCTCTAGGAAGCGTACCTCAAACATTATATTGCCTAGCTAAACTGTAGTGACTAGGATTACTTTATATGATCTCTCTTTCCCCTCTTCCCTTTCCCTGCCTTCTCTTCTAAACCAAACTCACACAACAGAACCACCATCCTTCGTCAAGAAGCTGGAGAACGTCACTAGCATTTTGAAAGGTGATGCATTCTTTCAGTGCATCGTAGCAGGTGCTCAACCCTTATCTGTGTCATGGATAAAAGATGAGAAAATACTAGAAGACGATGAGCATCACCATATTACCTTTGAGAACAACGTGGCCACACTGAAGCTTGCTAATGTTGACCTCAGCCACAGAGGGAGATACACCTGTCAGGCCAAGAATGAATCTGGCTTGGAGAAGTGTTTTGCTTTGCTTTTTGTACAAGGTGTGTACAAGGTGTGACCTTGATGACTATTTGAAAGTCAGTCCCCTATCTACATAGCTAACTGTTTTTATACTCTTTATACCTCAGAGCCTGCACAGATCATAGAAAAGGCTAAATCGCTTAAAGTCACTGAAAGAGACCCTGTGACTTTGGAGTGTGCTGTGGCTGGGACGCCAGAGCTCCGAATAAGATGGTACAAAGATGGCAAACAGCTCCTGCCCAGTAGATACTACACAATGACCTTTGAAAACAATGTGGCCAGTTTCAGGATTGAACCTGTATCAAAGGAGGATAGTGGTACATACAGTTTTAAGGTTGAAAATGACTTTGGAAGTAGCACCTGTGAAGCTGTTCTGACTGTGCTAGGTTTGTATTGACATATGGGAAATTTGCCAATACAGGGAGGGAATGAAAAAAAATAATAATTTCTGTGAAAGCTAAGCAAGAAGTTAACCGATGTGTTTTTACCATTTCTTGTGTTGGGCAGATCAATCAATTCCTCCTGTATTTATCAAAAAACTAACCAAAAAGGATACCGTTCTGGGATCTTCTATCCAAATGGAGTGCAAAGTCTCTGGGTCACTCCCCATTATTGCAAAATGGTTTAAGGATGGAAAAGAGATAACTGACAGTGCAAAATATAGAAGTCTGTGCCATGAGAACACTATGTCACTTGAGATTGCTAATCTAGAGCTGGCAGACAGTGCAAATTACACGTGCAGTGTCTCTAATGTTGCTGGAAACGACTCTTGCAGTGCTGTCCTGACTGTGAAAGGTTTGAAACTCTTTTAATACTTCTTATTTGTGATAGATGCTGGAAAAACACCTTAAATCTTGTCCTAACATAACACTCATATATCTTGATGTAAATACTAAAAACTTGGTCTCCATGCTTGCCTTACTAATTTTCTTCATTCTTAGACATTTCTGATGTAACTGAGTATTTCTTTTTCTTAAAAACTCAGAACCACCAAGCTTCTTAGTAAAACCTGAAAGCCAACAAGCCATCCCAGATTCCACAGTGGAGTTTAAGACCACACTAAAAGGAACACCACCCTTTACAGTAAAGTGGTTCAAAGAAGATTTAGAACTTGTATCTGGTCCAACTTGTTTCATTGGGATTGAAGGTTCAACCGGGTTCTTAACCCTCTATTCAGTGGATACTTCTAGGACTGGGCACTACACTTGCCACGTTTCAAATGACGTTGGCAGTGATTCTTGCACTACAACATTGATGGTAACAGGTGTGCACTCTTTCTTGATGTGTTGCAGTCTTTTTGTCTCTTTCTTCTCTTTCCTTTTTGCCAAACCCACTCCAGTGATCTTTGATACACTGCCAAGTGAATTCCCTTTCTTGTGCTTGCAACCCATATTTTTTTGGCTCTTTTTCCCCATATTTTCTTTCCAGTATTAATTCAGACCTTCCTGACCACGCTTTTTTGGTTTTTTTAGAACCACCCAAGTTTGCTAAGAAGCTAGAGGCAACAAAAGTAGTCAAGCAGGGTGACTCAGCCCGGCTTGAGTGCAAAGTAAGTGGATCTCCAGAGATGAAAGTAGTGTGGTTCAGAAATGACCATGAAATTGTTGCCAGTGAAAAATTCCGGATGTCTTTCATTGACTCTGTGGCCGTGCTTGAAATGAATCATCTCAGTACTGATGAGAGCGGTGACTACATCTGTGAAGCTCACAACCCTGCCGGCAAGGCCAGCTGTAGCACCAAAGTCACAGTGAAAGGTTAGCTGTTCTCTTGTTCTCTGATTGCATCCTATTTTTCCTCTGGTGGTTGTACCCCTTGGAAATCCACAGGGACATGAGTTTAATTTCTTATTTCAGGATTGCCCTTTTCTTCATGTCATGTTTGTTTCTTGATGCCCCTCATCCTCCTTGCCAATGCCCGAACAAGGATGATGTTCTTAATGCAGAAAAGTTCTAAGCTAGTTGTTCCCCAGTTCTAAATTTTAAATGTCCAAGACAGATCATAGTGGGGATTTCTATATAAAGGATCTGAAATATGAAGGAAAAGAACAGATATAAACTGACTAGTGTCAGTTTTACACTGTGTATGGCAGATTACTGAGACCTGTACCCTCTCTGCCAAGGGTCACCCTGCTGTTTACCTTTTATACAGAGGAGCTAAGGGCTCTGAATGCTCACCTGTGGGCAAGTTAATTTCATAATGTGCCCAGAAAATGAGGGAAGCCCTTGCCCCTTCTGAAGATATTCTCAGCAGTTTCATTGTTTAGAAGCTGGTATCAGTAAACTGTTTGTTTGGCCAAATAGCTCTAGACTCCTTTCTAAAAATGTTCCTCTCTTCCCTTGTTAGAACCTCCTGTCTTTAGCAGGAAACCCTCTCCAGTAGACATTGTCAAAGGATCTGAGGTTAGCCTGGAATGTGAGATTTCAGGAACACCTCCATTTGACGTTGCCTGGTACAAAGACAGGAGACAAATCCGCAGTAGTAAGAAGTACAAGGTTACAGCCAAAAACTACCAGACAAGTGTTCGCATTCTTAATGTTGAAGCTGCGGATGTTGGTGAATATCAGTGCAAAGCACAGAACGATGTAGGAAGTGACACTTGTTTTTGCGCTGTGAAACTGAAAGGTAAAGTATTGATACATGTGCCTTCTGCAGTGCTCCCAAGGATGCTGCATTGCTCTTCTTTAAGAAAACACTGTGAGTATTTACTGTAACTGCATATTTCTTCTTCAGAACCACCAAAATTCTTGACTAAAATAAACAGCGTTACTGTTGTGGTTGGTGAACCAGTAGAGTTACAAGCAAAAGTGGAGGGCTCCCAGCCAATTGCTGTGCAGTGGCTTAAAGACAAAGAGGAAATTATTAGAGAAAGTGAAAACACGAAGATCACATTTATGGAAAATATTGCAACTTTACAATTTGTGCACACGGAGACAAGCAATGCTGGAAAATACACCTGTCAGATCAGAAATGATGCTGGAAGTCGCGAGTGTATGGCTACCTTGACTATTCTAGGTTGGTAAAAAGCACAAATTCATGAAAGTTTGGGGGTTTTTTAAAGTTAGAAACTTGGCTATTTAGTGTCAACTGTATACTCTGCTTATGCCCCTGAGTTTAAAACAGTCAAAACAGAGAATCATTCTCTGCCCAACAAGCAGCAGTCAGGTTCCATATTTCCAGTTTTCAGGGATAGGAGTAAAAGGAACCACTCATGCCTGGTGGGAGAGGGACAGGCAGTTGCATTTTTCTCTTAGGAGATTAAAATATTTGTACTTAATTTTTTAGAGCATCTGAAACTTCCAGTTTGGGGTAGAAGAAAGGATGGAAAAAACCAGCTGAAAAAATTCCACTCTAACAAACTGAAATTTCTTTAGCATCAAATGTGTAAACTCCATCTTATACTGCTATAATGCTTATAGTTAGTACTAATCAAATCCTGTTTTCACCATATACATTACCCATCTCTCCTTCCAGAGCCTGCAGTCATTGTAGAGAAAGCAGAGCCAATGAGAGTTACTGTAGGAGATGCCTGTACTTTGGAGTGCAAAGTGGCAGGCACACCACAGCTTTCCACTGGGTGGTTCAAGGACGGCAAAGAGCTGACCAGCAGCCAAAAATACAAAATTACTTTCCTCAATAACGTATCTACACTTAAAATTATGGATGCAGAAAAGGAAGATGGTGGACTGTATACTTTTGCAGTGCAAAACGACGTGGGGAAAAGCAGTTGCACAGCATCAGTTGATGTTTTAGGTTGGTTGGGTATCTTGTCTTCTATCTTTTACAAAAGCTTTTGTTTGGTCATGTTCTCTGTCCTTTCTTCCATTCCTTTCCTCATTTTCTCTCTAACCTTGGATTTATTATGTTTTCTTATGCAGATCGAATCATTCCTCCTTCTTTCACAAGAAAACTAAAGGACACCCCCTGTGTTCTGAGTTCATCAGCACTGCTGGAATGTAAAGTGTCAGGTTCACCTCCTATTTCTGTTGCCTGGTTTCAAAATGGACTTAAGTTAGTCAATGGAGAAAAACATCAAATCTCCTTTTCAGATAACCTTTGTATTTTAGAAGTTAATTCACTGAGCAACTCAGATACTGGAACTTACACTTGCAAAGCTACCAACGTAGCTGGTTCAGATGAATGCAGTGCTGTATTGACTGTACAAGGTCAGTATATGATAGTCAGGAAGCTCTCTGAGCTGTTCTTTTCTCTTTCTCTTTTGAAATTGCCTGCGGTCTCTTGTAAATATTCTTGGGGAAAATTATTGACTGAAAAATAAAGATTTTGCTCTTTGTCTTCAGTAGTGTGTGGAAATGCCAGAGTTATGCTGCAGCAACCTGTCTCATCTCTCTTTTTCTCTTGTGTGTTTAGAGCCACCATCTTTTGAGAGGACACCAGAGCCTCTGGATGTATTGCCAGGCACAAGCATCACTTTCACATGTGTTGTCAGAGGAACCCCTCCTTTTAAGGTCAACTGGTTTAGAGGGGCCAATGAGCTTGTGCCAGGGGACAAATGCAATATCTACTTGGAGGAGTCCGTTGTGGAGCTTGAGTTATTTGATGTAACTCCTCCCCAAAGTGGAGAGTATACTTGTCTAGTGACTAATGATGCTGGCAGGGCAAATTGTTCAACACACCTTACAGTAAAAGGTTTGTAAAGATAGATCTCTCTATTTACCTTAAAATATTTTTTCCTTCTCTCCATTTGGCATGTTGTGTTCAACATTTGTGACTTCTTACCTTTCATTAGAGCCAGCTGTCTTTGTGAAGAAACTGAGTGATCAGTACGTGGAACCTGGCAAGCCCATCATCCTGGAGGGCACTTACACAGGCAGCCTCCCCATCTCTGTGACATGGAAGAAGAATGGCCACACCATCACACAGTCTCAGAAGTGTAGCATCACCACCACAGAGAAATCCTGCATCCTGGAAATACTTGACAGCACCAAAGAAGATTCAGGAGAATACACTTGCCATGTTGAAAATGAGGCGGGAAGAGATGTTTGCGAGGCTGTAGTCTCTACCCTAGGTGTGTGCTCCCTTTGCTTCTTTTTCTTGCCTTTTTTTCAAATATATGCTTTCCAAGGCCTGACACTACAATGACCCTATCTAATTGCTTCTCTTTTTTAGAACCTCCCTATTTTGTTACACACTTGGAACCTCTTGAGGTGTCAGTTGGGGATTATACAACATTGCAATGTCGCGTTGCTGGAACACCAGAAATAACTGTGTCTTGGTACAAAGGTGACACAAAACTCAGGTCTACTCCTGAGTACAAAGTGTTCTTTAAAGACAACGTTGCTACACTTATTTTCAACAAAGTGGTTAGCAATGACACTGGAGAATACATCTGCAAGGCAGAAAACAGTGTAGGAATTGCATCTACAAAGGCTCTCTTAACAGTTCAAGGTGATGATTTTATATTAGCTTGATAAAATTCTTTTTCTCTCACAAAACTATAAAAAAATTGCTTACTGGGGATTATTTATCCTTTACTTGCTTTCTTCTAGAGCGCAAACGACCACCTTCCTTTGCAAGAAAGTTAAAGGACATCGAGCACCCTGCTGGTTTACCCCTTAAATTTATGTGTCGGCTCAATGGCTCAGAACCCATTACTGTTACTTGGCACAAAGATGGGGTACCACTGAGTGATGACCACAATGTGCACACATCCTTTGTAGATAACGTTGCAGTGCTGCAACTAGTGCGAACCGAGATGAATCATACTGGGCAGTACTCCTGCACAGCCACCAATTCTGTGGGCACTGCCACCACAAGTGCTAGGCTCACAGTGGCAGGTGTGTTGGCTTACAAAATTTTTGCCTGGATCACAGGCTCCTCTCTCTCATGTCATGCATGCGATGGTATCTATGTGTTGGATTAACTTTTTTGTGAGGTGTATTACATAGTTTTCTTGTGCTTTTAGAACCCAAGCAAGCACCTGTCTTTGACACCAAACCAGAATCTATTGATGTGCCTTTTGGAGAAAGTGCTGACTTTGAATGTCGTGTTACGGGTGCCCAGCCAATACACATAACCTGGTCCAAAGATGGTCGGGAGATTCGAACTGGAGGAAACTTCAATATTACATTTATAAACAACACAGCTCACCTTCGAGTGCTCAGAGTGGGTAAAGGAGACTCTGGCCAATATACTTGCCAAGCTAGTAATGAAGCTGGGAAAGACTTTTGCTCAGCCCAACTCAGTGTCAAAGGTATTAAGACTAAATCACCTTTGTTTGTGTGTTTTCTTTTTCTTGGGTAAAGAGACTTTTTTGTCTCATCTTCTACCATTTCTAGTTCAGAAATATACAGAAAGTAGCTTTCCAGGCAGCAGACACAAACCATGAAGTGACCTCCCATCATAATATGTAACAGTAGAAACCTTCTGTGCCTGCGAAATCTCTCTCTTTGTGAACCTTTTTGTAGGTACAATTGCACTCACACTGCTTTTAACTTTAGTGGTTAGCGACAGTCTCTGTGGTATTCAGTCATAGTAATTACTATGTGGAACACAGTGATAAGTAAATACAGTATCTTGCCGTTGTTTGCCAGCGAACTCTTTTGACTTTGCTAAAGATTTCAATTTTGAATTGTTGTCTTAATCTAGACTATGCATCACTTAATTTCTTCATGCAGAAATATACTTTAAATATGTGTAAGCGAGTGAAACTATCCCTACCGTGTTTCTGTTGCTCCTGGGGATGAAAGACTTGTCAAATTTTTCATGCTGGCCTGCGAACCTGTTACCCCTCAAAGGTAACAGCAAAATTTCCCTTGGATGGAGCAACCGTCTTTGTATGTTTTCTATAACTTCATCTGTCTGATGCAACAGGGTCCATAGTTGGCAGAAGATAGTTTTAGTTGTTGTCTTTGCTTTCTTTTTTCCATCTTCTGTCTTTCCTTGAGAGGAAATTCTGGTGGGAATGCATCCAGCTGCGGTAGCAATCTTACTTTGTTGTTCCACAGTACTCTTGTGCCTCCCAGAACTTTCGCTCAGCACTGTAGATTTCACATGGCAAACAGGTATCCTGTCATTCTCTACATATTTATTCTGTTCTGCAGAACCTCCCAAGTTCATCAAGAAGCCTGAAGCTTTGCGATTCGTGAAGCAAGGGGACACAGTTCAACTTGAATGTAAAATCAGTGGCACACCAGAGATCAGAATCGTGTGGTATAAAAATGATCAGGCACTCCAGGCGAGCGACAGGCTCCACATGTCCTTTGTAGACTCCGTGGCGATGCTAACCATTCCAGATGCCAACACTGAAGATGCTGGGGATTACATATGTGAAGCCCATAACTCTGCCGGCACAGCCAGCTGCAGCACTTCAGTCGCAGTGAAAGGTTAGCAGTGTGGCTTCACACGCAGCCAGAATCCCCGGCTACCAGTCCCTGCTCCCAGCTGCACGTCCCTCAGACAGGGAGCTGCTGCTGCAGACGTTGGTGGCTGCTGGGACAGTGTCTCTCCATCTGGTCTCACACTGAAATGCTGCGGTGTTTATGCAGCAGAGATTAGGCAGGAAATTGTGGTGGGTGTTGAGCACTGTGCAGCTGTTCCCTTGTCTCTCCGCTTAAGTCAATTGAAAGCTGAACAAAGCAAGGTTTTCAAATCACAAGGACTAGATAGAACACCAGCCATGGTGAGGAGCTGGAAATACTTTTCAGCCATCCCTCTGCCTCCTCTTTATACGCGGTGATCCTGACAGGAATACAATTTAAGACGGAAGAGGAGGCTGTGTAGCTGAGTCTCACTGATTGTAGCTTTCGTGATTAGAAAGAGTGGGGAGGAAAGCTGGAATGTGATCCCGGAGAGCAGGGAGAGTGGTTTTGGGGAGGGGCACCAAGCACTGACTCCAAACAGGTGCAGAAGTGTCACATTTTCTGTTCTTTGGACTGCTGGGATTTTTTAGAGGTCAGGCCACATATTTAAAAGTTAAATATGTGTTTACGAGAATAAATGTAGGCTCTCTTCCTGAATATGTTGCCTCCTGCTACTCTCCAGGAACCCACCCAGAGAAGTAGGCTCACACATTATGATGTGATTCTTTTTTTATAGAACCACCTGTTTTTAGCAAAGTGCCAAGCCCTGTGGAGACTCTTAAAGGCTCAGATGTTATCCTCCAGTGCGAGATAGCAGGGACCCCACCCTTTGAGGTGGCTTGGTTCAAGGACCGAAGGCAGGTCAGGAGCAGCAAGAAATTCAAGGTGACAGCAAAACACTCCATTGCCAGCCTTCATATTCTCAATCTGGAATCTCAAGATACTGGAGAATATCAATGCAAAGCTATGAATGAGGTGGGAAGCGACACTTGCACTTGCCCAGTGAAATTCAAAGGTTTGTATGCTAGAGGCTCAACAACATCACTGCCCTCTTTTCTTGATTTTCTTGCTGTCCCTCTTTCAAGCAAGCATGTATGATTAACTGTCCTCTGCCTCCTTGTTTTTGCCATCAGAACCCCCACGGTTTGCCAAGAAGCTGAGTGACACTGCAATCTTCATCGGGGAGCCAACAGCTCTGCAGGCAGTGGTGGAAGGATCCCCTCCAATTTCTGTTGTCTGGCTCAAGGATAAGGGTGAAGTTATTAGGGAGAGTGAAAATGTTCAAATGTGGTTTATGGACAACATAGCAACTCTTGAGATAGCCAGTGCAGAGGGAGCTGATGTTGGGAAGTACATCTGTCAGATCAAAAATGATGCTGGCATGCGGGAGTGCTCTGCCTTTTTACAAGTCCTAGGTGGGTATAGCCTACTTCACAGATACTATATCTTACAGCTTGCAAAATTGCCTTTGTTCTCTGCTTATGTCCTCTGCTCACTAGTTTGAGGGTAGATTTCTTGGTGACACACAGATCTTCCTATTTCAGAACCAGCAGTCATCTTAGAGAAGACTGAACCAATCACAGTAATGGCTGGTAATCCTTTTACCCTGGAGTGCAAAGTAGGAGGAACACCTGAACTTATTACCAAGTGGTACAAAGATGGCAGAGAACTAAGGAGTGACCGCAAATACCAAATTACCTTTTTCAACAATGTATCCACTTTGAAAGTCTTTTCTGCAGACAGGGGAGACAGGGGCTTATATACTTTTGAGGTGCACAATGAAGTGGGAGACAGCAGCTGCACTTCTTCAGTTGATGTTTCAGGTCAGCTCTATATCTTTGTTGTTCACATTTGTCTTTAAAGGAAGCTTTTATTTTTCCCCCTTTTCTTTCCACTGAAAAAAAAAGCCAAAACCAACCTTTCTCTTCCTGTACTTCTTCCCTGTCCTACTTAGATCGTCTTGTTCCTCCTTCATTCTCAAGAAAATTAAAAGAAACAAATGGGGTGCTGGGATCCTCAGTGCTGCTGGAGTGCAAAGTGTCTGGCACATCCCCCATATCTGTGTCCTGGTTTCAAGATGGGAATGAGATTGTTAGTGGAGAAAAATATGAAATCTCATTCTTGGATGATGTTTGTGCTTTGAAGCTGAATGCTCTGGATGCCACAGATACAGGGACATATACCTGTGTGGCAGCCAATGTGGCTGGATCTGATGAATGCAGTGCCTTCTTGACTGTACAAGGTCAGTGTAAGGATACTACAGTACTTTCACCAAAATTATTCTTCCTTCTTCTCTTTCTCCCCTCTGCTTTCTCATGGTTTCTTTTTCATGTTTGTTTTTTGGGGGATTTTTCCTGTGGGTTTTTTTTTCTTGACTCAAACCTGTTCCAGTTTTCCTCCCCACAGAAACTCTCCTATTAACATCTTTTTCCCTCTTTCACTTCTTTGCATGATCTTTAGAACCACCTTCTTTTGTGAAGACACCTGATCCCCAGGAAGTTTTGCCTGGATCAAGTGTAACATTTACCAGCTACATCAAGGGTAGTGCTCCCTTCAAAGTGACCTGGTTTCGAGGCATCAGGGAGCTGGTGCCGGACAGCAACTGCTCCATCTCTTTCAAAGAATCTATGGCACAGCTGCAGCTGTACAACGTGGAGCCAGGCCACAGCGGGGACTATGCCTGTGTGGTCACAAATGATGCTGGCAGTACCTCATGTACAACCCAACTCTTTGTTAAAGGTGTGTTTGAGTGTGTGCATGAATGCACAGTTGTCTTCATTAACGGTCTGCCTGCATCTCTTCCACTTCTGTCCCTCTCACTATTGATTTATACCTCCTCACAGAGCCTGCAGTCTTTGTGAAGAAATTAAGTGATTTCAGTGTGGAGCAGGGAAAGTCCATTGTGCTGGAAAGCAGCTACATAGGCACCCCTCCCATCTCTGTCACCTGGAAAAGAAATGGCATGCCCATTGCACAGTCCCCACACTGCAGTGTTACAACTACTGAAAAATCTGGCATTCTTGAAATCTTCAACAGCACCAAGAATGATGAAGGCGAATACACCTGTGAGGTGGCAAATGAGGCGGGTGGGGATGTTTGCCACAGCCTTGTGTCCATCTTAGGTATGCCTCAACCCTGATTCCCCTAAGGCACCCACCCCAGTGATGCTCTGTCTATGCTCACCATGCTCTCTCCTTCCCTAGAACCACCCTATTTTGTCACACATCTGGACCGTGTGGAGGTGAAGGTTGGCGAGCCCTTGATCTTAAAATGCCAGATTGGTGGTTCACCAGAAATCAAGGTGTCCTGGTATAAAGATGACACCAAGCTGAGATCAACACAAGCTTACAAAATGCACTTCAAGAACAATGTGGCAACACTGGCATTCTCCACTGTAGAGGATAGCAACATTGGAGAATATATCTGCAAAGCAGAAAATAGCATCGGCTTCGCCACCTCCACAGCTTTGCTTGTTGTTAAAGGTGATGGGCCAAGGGCCACTCTTTTCTGGGTAGTTTGTAGGAACTCTTTTTCGCCTACAGGAAGGGGTTCTTATTAATTTCAAAGTTAATTAATTCTAGGTTGACAGGATGGCTTCTTACTGATAGTGGTGATTATTATTGTTTTACAGAACGTCAACTTCCCCCTACATTCACCAGAAAACTAAAAGATATTCAGGAGGTGGTTGGTGCCCCAGTGACATTTGACTGCCGTATAAATGGCTCAGAGCCTATCCAGGTGTCTTGGTACAAGGATGGGGTTCTCTTAAGCGACAGTGATAACATGCAATCAGCCTTCTTAAATAACGTTGCGACTCTCCAAATCTTGCAAACTAGTATGGCTCACTGTGGCCAATATACTTGCTCAGCCCAAAATGCTCTGGGGACTGCATCTTCCAGTGCCAAACTTCTCCTCACAGGTTTGTGGCTCATATTTTAATGAAGAATTTTCTATGTCTTTGCTCTCTTATTTCCCCCCACCTTTTCCCACTCTACCCTTTGTACGGTGGCAAGGGACGATGGGCATGGAGTGGTGAGGAGGGCTTGGTGATGAGCTCCGCCATGCTTTCCTCTTTGCAGAACAACTACAACCTCCCTTCTTTGACATCAAGCCAGTATCTATCGATGTGGCACTAGGGGAAAGTGCAACCTTTAAGTGCCATGTGACTGGTTCTGCTCCCATGAGGATTACTTGGACCAGAGACAACAGAGAGATTCGTCCTGGTGGCAACTACAAAATGACACTCGTGGAAAGCACAGCCAGCTTGACAGTCCTAAAAGTTGGTAAAGGAGATGCTGGACTCTACACATGTACTGCAAGCAACAGTGTTGGAAAGGACGCGTGCGCAGCTCAGCTGGCTGTACAAGGTATTGCTGTGGGCTTTAGTGTTCGTAAGGCTTTTCTTTGCAAGATACACTGGAAAACACAGTCCTGAATAGAGACGTGCAATTAACAACCTTTACAAGAGGCTACATTAAGATGTCTCATTTCACTTAAATATTATTGTTATACTTAAATACTTATTCATCTTTCTTCTGATCTGGTATAGTGTGTGATTTTTCTTATCAAAGGGATTCTTCCATTGAAATGTTAACTCTCACTTAGTACCCTCTTGCGTCTTTATGAATGGTCATGTTGGCCAGCAAAATCTAACTTTCTGAAGTCTTTCTCCAGCAGTGACATTCACTAGGTTGCCCATGGGAGAGAAAGAAACTGACAGAAACTCAGCTCACTTAAGAGGCTTAAAAGTATTTGTACTGGGTGTGCAGCTCCTGCAAATAGTTTTGCTCTTTCACAGACTGAAAACATTGAAAATTGCTTTCAATGACCTTATTTATTTTCTTACCCTTCAAATCTTTATTCATAAAATCCTGGGGTTTTTTTTCAGGATTATTTTATTTTTGATCCTGAGTTTACACTTACAGTCACTTCAGTCCTTTGGAATTTGTACAGTTTCCCCAGGGCTGTTAAATTAGTGATGTTTGTTGTTTTCAGTCAATTTCTATAGAGCTTGGAAACACAATCTCTTTGTATGTATTGATTTGCATTATGTTCAATTTGAGTATATGCTGTCTCACTTCTATGGCATGCAACTTTTTGTTTGTAGAATTAATATCTTTTTTTTTCAATTGACCTTGAAAAACTCCCAGTTTTTTGTTAACTTTCTCACTTTAACATCTAATATTCCCAATCCATAGTTTTAACAATTGCTTTATGTTCTAGAAACTACTTTACATTCTAAATATATACCTTACTAACATGTATATCCTCATTTTTTGAAAGGAGTGGAATTAGACTGTAACTACTCAGCAACTGTTAATATGCAGATAGATAATCAACTTCCTCTCAAATTGAAATCTGATAGTAAACTGCTAAGGTTCCAAGAGTCCCGATGTTAACGAGCCATTATTTATATTTTTAGAAACTCTAAGGAAGTTTTGTTACTAACAACACAGGATGTTCTGCAATTGACCCACAGGTTGAAGTAACCCACAATAAAATAGATATTCTTCCTACACTTTACAGACAGATGCGCAAAGTGGCACTTCATCCTGTTTTGCAAAGAGATTTGTTTGTTGTGCCCACGTTGCCACCTCTTAGTTTTACTAGTTATATCTTTGATCCACGGGCATTCAGTCTTGTGATTCTAAACATCCACACGGTACTTTTGATGAAAAGTGTCAAACCTCCACTCCTTTCCTCTACTTATGGAACAAAATGTAACCATCTGGTTTACTTTTCAGTCACAGGACATTTAACACCAACTTCTATAATACCAGTCATCTCATAAGTCTTTTCAGCATGATTATTTTGAAGCTCTTTTGTTTGCTACATAAGCTCCTTAACTTTTATTCCTTACATGCAACTTTATGTTTGGTTTTGCATTAAATGTGTGAGAGGTTATAATGCAGAAACATTTATTCACTATATTAATTATTAGTCACATATTAAGATATAAAGCAGTTCCTCTAATGCTCAATAGAAATGCTTTTACTAATGTTGCTTGGCTGAACAGTTGGATTCTTGCATTTCCATCGGGCATTTTGATTGGTCACGTATTACAAGAAGATATTTCTTAAAGAATAAGTAGTGAATACATACAAGGAGAGGTACAGTGGGTCAATAAAGTAAGGAGAAACTAACTGAAATGCATATAGAGAACTTGTTTGCTTCTTAGTCTAGATTTTGGACCAACTTAAAATCATCTAAAAAAATCCATAACCATTGCAAAATCAGATTTTTCCCCTAAGCCCCTAAAGTTTACAGTTTTTGTTACTTATCTCCCTGCTTATTCAAAGAATCAGTGCAGTTTAAAGCATCATTTCCCCTTTTTGGCTTTCCAGAACCACCAAGGTTTATTAAGAAACTAGATTCCTCAAAACTTGTGAAACAGCACGATTCCATTAAGTATGAATGCAAAGTAGGTGGATCTCCAGAAATCAAAGTCACCTGGTACAAGGGTGAAACTGAGATTCATCCCAGTGAAAAATACAGAATGTCCTTTGAGGATTCAGTGGCAGTCATTGAAATGCACAACCTCAGTGTTGAAGACAGCGGTGACTACACGTGTGAAGCTCAGAATCCGGCGGGTAGTGCAAGCACCAGTACTTCACTGAGAGTAAAAGGTCAGAACCTCAGTTCTTTCCTTCCATTTCTAGTGGTAAAAGTCCTCCTTTGTCAGAAAACTCTTAAATCCCACTTTCTTTTGTCAGAGAAGCCAAAACCTGTCTGACTAGATGTCAAATCTCTTGCTTGTTTCTGATCTCTGTGGGAGGTCTTTCTTATCCATTGTTTATCTTTACTATTCGGCATCAGAATGGCTCCTTGAATCATCTGTCCTCTTTAATCTACTTTATTCAGATAACATAAACTATAATTCTTTTCTTTTTTTTTTCCCAGCACCCCCCATTTTTACCAAGAAGCCCCATCCAGTCCAGACCTTGAAAGGGTCTGATATTCACCTGGAATGTGAGCTTCAGGGCACTCCTCCGTTCCAGATTTCATGGTATAAAGACAAACGAGAAATTCGGAGCAGCAAGAAGTATAAGGTCATGTCTGAGAACTACTCAGCTAGTATTCACATTCTTAGTGTGGATACTGCAGATGTTGGTGAATATCACTGTAAAGCTGTAAACGATGTCGGAAGTGACACCTGCATTGGCTCTGTAACACTAAGAGGTTTGTACAAAGATTGGCACCTTCTTGACATTTCTTTGTTCCTGTCGTTCTCCTCCTACTTTTCCGCTCCTGGCGTGTTTTTTTACTGTTAAATATCTTCTCTTAAATAGCACCACCAACCTTTGTGAAGAAGCTGAGTGATCTCACTGTCGTAGTTGGGGAGTCAATTGAGCTGCAGGCCGAAGTAAAAGGATCACAGCCCATTTCTGTTCTGTGGTTAAAAGACAAAGGGGAAATCATTAGAGAAAGTGATAATCTTTGGATCTCCTATTCAGAAAACATTGCAACTATGCAGATTGGAAATGCAGAACCAACCAATGCTGGGAAATATATTTGTCAGATAAAAAATGATGCTGGAGTTCAGGAATGCTTTGCCACGGTGAAAGTGCTAGGTTGGTAGCATGCAATAAAAACACAATGTGTTTTAAGATTCTTTAAAATTTAAATGTTAATTATAATGATAACAACTATTGCATTGTTGATTTAAACATTTTTCTGACTTGCATTTCATTGCAGAACCTGCAGTCATTGTAGAGAAGCCAGGCCCAGTCAAAGTTACAGCAGGAGACTCTTGTACTCTGGAATGCACAGTAGATGGCACACCAGAGCTTACTGCTAGGTGGTTTAAGGATGGTAATGAGCTGTCCACTGACCATAAATATAAAATCAGTTTCTTCAACAAAGTATCTGGGCTTAAGATCCTCAATGCAACACTAGAAGACAGTGGAGAATATACTTTTGAGGTGAAAAACAGTGTTGGTAAAAGCAGCTGCACAGCTTCAGTGCACGTTTCAGGTTAGTTGACTACTCTTTTTGAGTACATATGATCCTTTAGTTCTTTTACAAAGCCTTCAGATAGCAAAGTGATTGTTGTGACTGGCAACCTAAGAAACTCATTGCTTGTGTAATATTAGGAGTACTTGGCATGCTACTTTGACAGGCTTCAATAATAGATGCCTACCTAACCTCTGAGGGGCAGGAGTTATTGAAAGGACTTGATTTCTTCAGCTTTAATCTACATGTCTTCTTGGACAGCTGGTGCAATATTGTTGCTTATGAAACAGAACAGCAAAAGTAAAAGGTGTCCCTCAAAAACTCTGGATGAAAGCTCCAGCATATCCTTAACAATCAACCATCTATTTTTCAAATACTTGGGTACTTAGCAGCAGAATGCTAACGCAGATACAGCAAAAGAAAGGTCATTCATTTTTTTACGCATGGAGAACTTTCTGCATTTTAAGACCCTGTATGGTAATTTTTAAATTTTTTTTTTAAAACAAATGCAGATCGTATTATACCTCCTTCTTTCACAAGAAAACTGAAAGAAACATTCGGTCAGCTGGGTTCTTCTGCTGTACTGGAGTGCAAAGTTTATGGGTCACCACCTATTCTGGTTTCCTGGTTTCATGATGGACAAGAGATTACCAGTGGAGACAAGTATCAGGCTACCCTTACAGACAATACCTGTTCTCTGAAAGTGAATGGACTTCAGGAATCTGATATGGGAACTTATTTGTGCACAGCTACTAATGTAGCAGGGTCTGATGAATGCAGCGCAATTTTGAGTGTTAGAGGTCAGTATCAATAAAAAGCCAGAGGGCACAAATTTATTTTCAGAAAAACTTCATTTTTTGCTTTGTTACATATTTCTCATTACTGTGCTCTTCAAAAGAAGTTCAAATGTACTTGTCTTTTCTATTTGTGTGCTTAGAACCACCATCTTTTGTGAAGAAACCTGAACCACTGGATGTTTTATCTGGGGCAAACATAACCTTTACTAGTATCATAAAAGGTTCCTCTCCACTGGAAGTTAAATGGTTCAGAGGCAGTGTTGAACTAGTACCAGGACACAGATGCAATATCACCTTGCAAGATTCAGTTGCAGAACTGGAGCTCTTTGATGTAAATCCTCTTGAGAGTGGAGATTACACTTGCCAGGTCTCTAATGAGGCAGGAAAAATTTCTTGCACTACACATCTTTTTGTCAAAGGTTTGTCCAGACTACTGCTTCTTATACTTATAAAGATGATCTTTTGGCTTTATTTAATTTGTTTTCTTCTCATTGTTCATTATAGAACCAGCCAAATTTGTGAAGAAGGTGAATGATTTAAGTGTAGAGAAAGGGAAAACTTTAATCTTGGAATGCACATATACGGGTACTCCACCGATTTCAGTGACATGGAAGAAAAATGGAGTTAACATAGTGCACTCTGAAAAGTGTAGCATCACCACTACAGAAACATCCGCCATACTGGAAATCCCTAGCAGTAAACTAGAAGATCAGGGGCAATATTCTTGTCATATCGAAAATGATTCTGGGAAAGATAATTGTCATGGTGCAATCACAATACTAGGTGCGTCAAGACACCGTCACTCCATTGAGTGTTATTTGAACTCCTAATACTCATTGTGCAATATCTTTTTATGCTAATGGTGTTTCTTTGTCCTTCAGAACCCCCTTACTTCATTACACCCTTGGAGCCAGTGCAGGTGACTGTTGGGGATTCTGCATCCTTACAGTGCCAGGTTGCTGGAACACCAGAAATGATTGTATCGTGGTACAAAGGCGATACAAAGCTGAGAGGAACTGCTACTATGAAAATGCACTTTAAGAACCAAATTGCTACTCTGGTTTTCAGCCAGGTAGACAGTAGTGACAGTGGGGAGTACATCTGCAAAGTAGAAAACACTGTTGGGGAGGCTGCTTCTTCATCTTTGCTCACGGTTCAAGGTGAATATTTCAATTTTAAAAATAAGAATATGACCTATTTTTCCTAAGTATGCTTTGCTGTTTTGAAAAAAAAGATCACCTCTTCCTTGTAAAACACTTTACTCTTTCTTGATGAATAAGATACCCTTGGCACTGTCTTCTACTAACAAGGGCCTGCCAGTAAAGCTAATTGAAAAGTGTCACCACAGCTCTTCTGTAGTGTTACAAGCTTCCGTCTTCTTTCCCTACTGAGGATATTTCTTTGATTGTTTCCACTATTAGAAGTCCTGAAGATTAAATAGGCTCACTGGATGTAACTGAGGGCGGAATGGTTATATATTTTCCTGCAATCGTACGCACAGGGCTCTTTTCACATCAGGTTCCAAATAAATGATATGCTGAATAACATTTTGCATGTCTTCTGAAAGACCTCACTGTACAATACCTGTTTTCTTACAGAGCGTAAACTTCCTCCTTCTTTTACGCGAAAATTAAGAGATGTTCATGAAACTGTTGGCTTACCAGTTATGTTTGATTGTGGCATTGCTGGTTCAGAACCCATCGAAGTATCTTGGTTTAAAGATGGTGCACGTGTAAAAGAGGACTACAATGTTCACACATCCTTCGTAGATAATGTAGCAACTCTCCAGATTTTGAAGACAGATAGGAGCCTTATTGGGCAATATACCTGCACAGCTACCAATGCTATTGGGACTGCTTCTTCTAGTGGCAGGCTTATCCTTACAGGTTGGTAGGCTGTGAAATATTTAATGGAAGTATCTTAAAATTAAGTTTTGCTTTATATATGAATTTAGTATTGTACAAAAGATGCTTATTTCACAGAGATTTAAAGTAAATCAAGATTTTAAAGTGATGCTTTTTTATTTCTTTCACTCTTCAGAAGGGAAGACTCCTCCATTCTTTGACATCCCACTTACACCTGTGGATGGTATTATTGGAGAAAGTGCTGACTTTGAGTGTCACGTTTCTGGAACACAACCTATTAGAGTCACTTGGGCAAAAGATGACCAAGAGATTAGAACAGGAAGAAATTATCAGATCAGTTATGTAGACAATACAGCCCATTTGACCATCTTGAGAGTTGACAGGGGAGATTCTGGAGTATATACATGCTATGCTAGCAATGAAGTTGGAAAGGACTCTTGCACAGCTCAACTGACTGTTAAAGGTACTGAATAGATAATACATTATGTGTACATTTTTCTTCCTTCAATTAAAAAGGACGTTAGCCTTATTACTGCTAGATAACTTTGAGAAAACTTTTTAGATGTAGCCTAAAGTACCTATGTGGAGATACTTATGGGTGTTTTAAGGGAATTAGGAAGGGTCACTAACAACAGTGGGAAAAGAAATGAAATATTTTATTTGGCCTACTTTCTTTATAGCCTCTGGCCTACTTCTTTTTTGTAGGCTTTGGCCTATTTCTTTCTTAACAACTTGACAAAACTCTTGGCGTTTTTTAAATGATGTTTGGCTTAAATCAGTATAAGAGAATTTTTTTCAAGTAGGAGAATCATCTATGACAGTGACTGTAAAAGCAAGACACCTGTTGCTTATCTTAGCATAATTTCCCTTTAAAATTATATCCTGTTTAAATGTGAGCAAATAATTTCACAATGTTCAAATTTTTCTTGAAACATTTTCCTTAGAACTTTTCATCTAAAGTTAGATTCATGGAATTTATTCTTTTTTTTTTACAGAACGAAAAAATCCTCCTACTTTTACTAAGAAACTGTCTGAAGCCATAGAAGAAACAGAAGGGAATGAACTTAAACTTGAGGGTCGTGTTTCTGGCTCTCAGCCTTTGACTGTTGCTTGGTATAAAAACAATCAGGAAGTCCATTCAAGTGCTCACTGTGAAATATCTTTCAAAAACAATACCTTGCTTTTGCATATAAAGGTCGTAGAGCAATCAGATGCTGGTTTATATACCTGTAAAGTGTCCAATGAAGCAGGAAGCGTGTTGAGTACATCTTCTGTTGTTATCAGAGGTTGGTTGAAGTCTTATTTTTCTTTACTTCTTGCTTTTCTTTATTTTATTGAGCTGCAAATATATAGGTTCTCTCTTATGGGCTGATTATACTTACCTTAACAGCAGTAATTTGTCCTGAGATGGATGTGATAAAACTTAGTTAAAACACAAAATCAAGAAATTCTTTTATTTTATGATTTAAAAACCCATTATTTTTCAGGAATAAGCTTCTTTTTCACCATTTGCTATTGCTGATTTAATGTGAATATTGAAATCTTTGTAATGTTTTTATTGAATTTTTATTCACTCTTTTTTCATGGAATAACAGAGGGTTTGTGCAATTACATCTACAAGTAGGCAGGGCTGACAGTGAGTTGCAGCAGCATGACGCTTCATCATAATAGTCTTGCAGGAGATTTGCTGGGTTTTTTCTTTAAAGATTCTTCTATAGTTTTGCAGCCTAATTTGCGCTTTAATTCTTATACTATTTTTTACATGTAAAGAATCTTACTGAGTGGATAAAGATATTTTTCACATGTTTGTATGGGAAATATGCTCTCATGCTCTCTTGATATTTATTCCATTTTCTAACATTATGATTGACATTCTCAGACTTCTATTTATCCTTCTCCATTCCTTGCCATTGCGTCCTTGAGAATCACATGTATTTATCTTTATCTTATATTCTTGATCATACTTTCCCAAGTATTCACTCAAGCATTTTCATATTCCAGAACCTAAAAAGCCTCCAGTTTTTGACCAGCCTCTTCAGTCAGCAGCAGGAGAGGAAGGTGATACGATCCAGCTTAGCTGTCATGTCCAAGGATCACAGCCGATCCGGATTCAGTGGCTGAAAGCAGGGAGAGAAATAAGAGCTTCAGACAGATGCAACTTCAGCTTTGTTAATGGAGTAGCTCTTCTAGAACTTGCTGCAGTTACCAAATCCGATTCAGGAGAATATGTATGCAAAGCTTCGAATGCAGCTGGCACTGATACTTGCAAATCTAAAGTGACAGTTAAAGGTATAGTAACATGGAGAAAATCAAGGCATAAAATGGAAATATCAACAAAAATTCTATCCCACTTTGTTTTCTGTGGAACAAAACAGTTAATATTCTCAATAATCTTATAACAAACTATTTTTATTATTTAGTTATTTGTAAAACTGTACAATCTGGTAGAATAGTATATTTAACAATAATTTATATCAATTAGTGACATAAATAGTGGGAGATCAGTGTCAGATCAGCAATATATTCTTACAAGGAAGAATTTAGTTTCTAAATCTAAACACCAAATTTAAGAAAAAATGAAAGCTAAATGAGTGAAATTACTTGGAGATGCATATTTTATGGAAGGGATCTGAACAGTGGTGTTTATTAAAGGAAAGTACAGAAGGAATTCAATTGAGCATATGGCCTTGGAGGCTAGTTGTTTCAAGACTGTTACAACTCTGACATTTTAATCTTTTAGCTGAAGATAAATACTGTCCTTCCTAGTAGATCTTGCCTTACCATTGCATAAAAGATACAGAAGTTCAGTAGTATGTACAAACAGTATCTTTTTCACTACACAGGTAGCCACAAGGCTAAGAATTACATAAATGAGAAAAAAAAAAAAGAATCTAACAGATCACCAATAAAAATATGCAAGTAACTTTTACAGTGTAATATCCAGAAATAGACTGAAAAGAGAATATCTCACTAAAAACTAATCCATTTTAGAGAACAAGGCTTCTTATTTGCATATCCATCTATAAATTTGCAACCATGTAGAGTAAAATTACCTGACTGAAGTTAATGAACAGCTCAATATGTGATCCACAGTGTTCAATCTCATCTGTAAAATACAATTGAAAGTAAAATACAAGTTGATTAAAACAATATTCAAGTATTTTACATTGTTATCACTCGCATAGTATTTTGTTCCATCTCAGGAATTAATTCGTTTTCTTACAATTCCTTCAGAAGCATCATCACACATGAACATAAACTATTACATGAAACCATCTGTTGTAACTATTTGACTCTGTTTTTTTAGAAAAACCAGCAGCTGCACCAGCAGCTAAGAAAGCAGAAGTGGAAGGCAAACTTTATTTTGTGTCAGAGCCTCAGAGTATCAAAGTCATGGAAAGTAAGAACCCTTTTCAAAACAGTACCTTGTCTTCTATTTTCCTACACCTTTTGTTTGAGATTATGTCCCTCTGTCATAAAGAGGTGGAAAGACTTAGCTTCCTCATTTGCATCTTTCTGCAGAGACCGTTGCAACATTTATGGCAAAAGTTGGAGGAGATCCAATTCCAAATGTTAAATGGATGAAGGGAAAATGGAGGCAACTCAACCAGGGAGGCCGCATTCTAATCCAGCAGAGAGGAGATGAAGCCAAACTAGAAATAAAGGACACAATAAAAACTGATTCTGGCATGTACAAATGTGTAGCTTTTAACCAACATGGTGAAATTGAGAGGAGTGTAAACCTACAAGTAGAAGAAAGAAAGAAAGAAGTTGTTGAAGGGGATCTCAGGGCAAAACTAAAAAGGTATATTGAAAGTTTTTATAGATTAATTTGCTATCAACGCAGAAGAAACTTTTTTTCTTGTACAGAACAAGATATAATTTTTAAATATTAATTAAATATTAATAACTGTACTAAAAATAGAAGCACCTGACTAGACTAAACCGAAGGATTCCACTGCACAAGGCAGTTCTAAGGTGATGAAATTTCTCATCAAACAGCTTTCTAGGAATGAAATGCTGTATATTTAACTTATGTTATTGATTTGCATAGCACTCCAACAAAAAAGAAAGAAGAGGAAGAGCAACCTATTGATATCTTGGAACTTCTCAAAAATGTAGATCCCAAAGAATATGAGAAATACGCTCGCATGTATGGAATTACAGATTTCCGTGGCCTCCTGCAAGCCTTTGAGTTACTAAAGCAAACTCAAGCAGAAGAAAGCCATAGATTGGTAAGATACAGTGTGACTGCAGCATTGGCTTTCTTAGGGGTAACATGGTTACTTGAACAGACTTGGTGTCCATACTCTGAAGTTAGGAAGCGTGCAGGAATTTCTGATTCCTCTTCAGTTCTTTTACTGACAGTTCTCAATTTCTTCCATGTTCAAATCCAAGAAGAATAAATGGGCCTTCTGGTTAAGTATGCTCTGTCTTCACAACTTCATTGCAATTGTTAAGATGGGAAGATATGCTAGTTACAGTACAGTTACAGAAAATTTCATGTAGGAATTAATTCTATGTTGGATAAACATGACAGCTTGACATTTAGTATCCTTTAATCTTTGAGTATATTCTGCATTTTATAGGAAATTGAGCTCACAGAAAAAGCTCAAAGGGAAGATCAGGAGTTTGATGAACTTGTAGCTTTTATTCAGCAACGACTCTCACAAACAGAGGTAATATGTTTTTGGACTAATTTGTGAAATATTCAAACCCGTAGCAGGGAACTTGAAACTAATTTAAACTAATATTTTTCAGCCTATTACTCTGGTCAGAGACATTGAAAATCAGACGGTTTTAGCAGATGAGGATGCTATCTTTGAATGTGAGATTAAAATTAACTATCCAGAAATTAAACTTACATGGTACAAGGGAACCCAGAAACTGGACTCCAATGACAAATATGAAATTAGAATTGAAGGTGACCGCCACATACTGAGAATTAGGAACTGTCAGCCTGAGGATCAGGGAAATTTCAGAATAGTGTGCGGACCACACATTGCCAGTGCCAGGCTAACTGTGATTGGTAAGTGTACTTTTGAAGTATGTATTTGAATTAATTTACATTTTATTTATTCCACTCTCTGATCTCTGCTTAAAATGTATGTTTTAACATGCAAATAGAACCTGCAGTTGAACGGCATCTTCATGACACTACTTTCAAGGAAGGAAAAACATGCACACTGACTTGTCAGTTCTCTATCCCAAATGCCAAGTCTCAGTGGTATAGAAATGGGAGACCTATTAAGATAGGAGGGAGATATTCAACGCAAGTCTCTGACAAAGTACACAAACTCATCATCAAGGATGTTAGAACAGAAGACGAAGGACAGTATACCTGCAAGCTTGACAGTCTAGAAACAACAGCAGATCTGGCCATTGAAGGTTTGTAAATATATAGAATCTCTTTATTACAACAGCAATAGACAATTTCTGGAGGTTCCATTAGCAGAACAAATGAAAATAAAAATAATTTCTGAAAGACATGTTCCCAGACTTAGAAATGGACTAAATAACAAATTTTACTGTCCTTTCTCTTTAGACAGTATGCAAAATACTCGGGTACATTAGTTTTTTTGGCTAAACCATCATTAATATTGTTCCCTGGCCTGCAAACAATCTGAGTCATACTAGCTTCTGTTTTCTTTGATACTCTTATATTTTCCTTGGACTTTCTCTCTTTCTTAATTATTATTTATCTTTAATTTCCTTGGTGGCCACTCTTATATAATGTATCTGCATAGCAATCTTGTTATAGTTGTATTCTTATGTCTTCTAATCTTCATTCTTATATATAAGACTTCATAGAAGATGGAATGCCTTTTTCTTACTCTACTTGCTCAAGATCTATTGTTATTACCTCATTATAATTTAGCTGTTATGATAAAAAAATGAGAAGGAATTAGCAAAGGTAAATGGCGTGGTGAGGAATAACAATTGATGTATTTTTTGTTTCTAAAACCAGCGGAACCAATTCAGTTCACGAAGAGCATACAGAACATTGTTGTGAGTGAACACCAGTCTGCAACCTTTGAGTGCGAGGTGTCCTTTGATGATGCAGTTGTGACATGGTATAAAGGCCCCACTGAACTGAGAGAGAGTCCCAAGTACAGCTTCAGAAGTGAAGGTCGTTGTCATTATATGACTATTCACAATGTTAATGCAGAAGATGAAGGTAAATATGCATGGAAAATCTGTGCTAGTGCCATTGTTTTATCTGATTTTGTTGTCTGGTTTGGAATGACAGAAGCATATAAATACCAACATTCTTTACTGCTGCAGGTGTATATTCTGTAATTGCTCGTCTTGAACCAAGAGGAGAAGCAAGAAGCACTGCAGAGCTCTATCTGGTAACCAAAGGTTAGCAACTTTTCTAAACAAATTTGTGATCATACCCATGTGCAGATTTGTTTGTTTGAAACATGATTCCGGAAAAATCAATAGTCCTAAAAGAAATCTAATATTCTTTTGCAGAAATCAAACTGGAGCTGAAGCCACCAGGTAAAGTTCATGAGCAAGACTGGCACAAGATCATCTCTATACTCTGTCATAGATTTAGTGCATTGATCTGCTTTATTTTTTATTTTCAAATCTTTTTTTCCTGGTTATAGTAAGTAAAACCTATTCCCTGAAAAAATATTCCTCATCCACAGACATGTGGAACTATTTATTCTCATAACTAGGTGCAGTGAATACTCTGATAACTCCATCATCAGTGACATTAATAGGGACAATATAGGATGCCACATTCTCTAAAACACCGAAGTTTATTTTTGTTTGAATTGCTAAGGAACAGAACAATGAAGAGGTACCAATTAATAGATATGATGTCCTCTGCACAACTGAAAAAAAACAACCAAGAAGGCAAAATCAGTAGCAATCATCTTATGAAATATAATGATTTTCTTTTTTGCATGTTCCTAAGAACCTTCTCCAAATGTTGCAAGCATTATTTAGAAATAAAATGTAACATTATCCGGTCTGTCCAGAAGAGGTTAATACGAGTAGTTATCCGTTGGTTGACTAGCTTATTCTTGAGGAGCAAGCTACAATCCTTGTATGTTACACAAAAAAAATTAAAGCACTGTGAGCTATTATTCTTGGGGAGAGCATACTGAATATTTTTATTAGTAGTATTTATTAAGTCAATTAATATTTTGATTTTCTAGATGTTCCTGATGCTAAGGTTGCAGTTCCACCTCAAAAACCAGCTGAAGGTAGGGCAATAAACCGTACTTGTTCTATATCTGCACTGAAGCAGAAGGCCAGTGGGAACCTCAGAGAAAAATCTTAGACAGCTCAGTGATAAGATCTGGATAATTGTTCTTGTGCAAATACAATATGGCAAGACATGGCTTGGATAGGCTTCTTTGCTGTGTGGAAGGTGAAAACTCTACACAAGTAGTGGTAGGAATGAAGCCTTTTTTCTTAAAAAGAGTTAGTCCTTCCATCATGTTTTCCTATCAGTCTGTTGTTCATTTGATGGTCCTTTTACTTCCGTCTTCCTCTCTGATAATTTTTTATTTTCATCTCTTCTTTTTGCCACAGAAATATCTTCTAAACAAGCTGTCTAAATTACTGCCCTCTAAAAAAAAAAAATCTTTTAGAGCCATACAATGGATTGCACATATATTGCAAATGGTCTCTCCTTGGGCTCTGGTATTGGATTACAGACTACAAACATTATTTATACTTCTGTTATATTCACTAGCTTACTACAAATCTTAGAAGCTCAATCTTCTTGGGTTTATTTCCTGGATAATTTTGTAAAAGTTTGCAGGGGCAGCAGGAGGGGAAAGATTTCATATTTAGATGAATTGCTATCAGCAATGATAGGAGAGTGATGGCAGCAAAGAAAATAAAACCGAGAAGGTTCAGGGTTCAAATATGGGTAGAACAGGAATTTCCACTCAAAATAAATTTATTCAGCTACTGTAGACTGTGAGAATGAGCACTGTGTTTGCTCTTACTCTGTAGCTGCAATAAAATCATATAATCCATTTTTCCAAACCAGGATTTTTTTTCATAATCAACTTTTTTCATATCATACTGAAATTATTTTCTAAATATTTCATTTTTCCTACAAGCTGCCCCTATTCCTATTCTTCTGCCTCTTGTTCCACCTCCAGAGAAGAAAAAGCCAGGTCAGAATACTTACAATATTTGAACAGTGTGTACATGTTTCATGACTGTTGGGCTTTGGTTTTTTGTTTGGTTTTTGAGGGGATTGTTTATTTTTAATTAAATTTTTTAATAAATATTTTATTCTTAAGCAGAAAAAAAGGTTCCACTAAAGAAAGTCCCACAAAAGGTGGTTAAAAAAGTTCCTGAAGAAGTCCCACCACCTAAAGGTAACTTTTTTTCCTTTTTTTTCTTTTTAACTGTTTTAAAAATAGTAGAATTACCTGGTGGAAACAAAGTGTTTTGTTTTGCAGTACCTTGAATCAAACAAAATTGTTTGATTTTTGTCTTTATGTTAAAAACACATATTTAAAATCCAAGCTGATTAAGACTGCTTAAAAAATAGTCCCTTAAACTGTCTGTGAAGGTGAAATAATTTCATTAAGTGTGAACATCCATGTCTTGCAAATTCCGGGCTATGATATGAATAATCAATTTTTTTTTTTTTAAAGTTCCTGAGGTGCTGCCAGAGAAACCCAAAGAGGTCAAAATAACATCTATGGCAAGGAGAGAAGAGATACATGAAGAAAAGAAGGAAATATATGAAATGCCTAAAGAAACTTATGAAGAATGGGAAGAAGATTATGGTGAAGATCATGATTATTATGTCAAGGAAGAAGGCTACGATGAAGGGGAAGAGGAATGGGAAGAAACTTATGAGAAAAGAGAAGTGACTTATGAAGAAAAAAGAGTCATTCATGAAGAAGGTATTTTAATTATCATACTATTTTGTTTTTTCTCTTTTCTCATATTTAATCTTGTGGCATCAATATTTTGAACCAAGCAACATTTTTAATTTTTTTTTGTTATACTAACTGGAACCATAATATGCTGACAAATTTTAACTGACACTTGATGATAAGCCAAGGACCCTGGTACGGCAAGATGTATATGCAGATAAAAATGGATACATTACAATACTTTATAATGTGATTGCCAATGGACTTTGCAGGTCTTAAAAACCTAATATGAGACAATAGTTTATAATGATATGTGTCATTTTTAGTTGTTTGGATGTTTCTTCTATCATTTTCATGTGTTCTAGATAAATTTAATTTATGTTAAAAATTTCCCAAAAATGCTTTATGTTAGTGACTATATTTCAAAATTTCTTGCATGGCGTAACTGTCTTAGGTATTAGTAACATGTATTCCTCTGGGAACAGAATTTGGATCTAATGAGAAACCATCAAACTTGGAAATAAGCAAAACATTTTACTGCAACAATTGGATCTCCAAAACACTGTTTTTCAAATTCATAAAATTATAATGTCATAACTAATACCTTCCTGTCTATAGAGCCTTTAGGCAACACATTTTTTATCATTAAGTGATTTTATTGGTTTTTTTAAGTGGTTGAAGTTCCTAAGAAACCTGTGCCTGAGCGAAAACCACCAGCAATTGCAGCTGAAAAGAAGGAAAAGAAGGAAGTAACAGTTCAAAAAGGTATGAGTTTCCTGCAAAAATAACAAGAACATGCAGATTAACATCTCTTATGCATCTCCTTCAAGGTGAATTATGCTGGTTATTCACATTTCCTTGGGAGGGAGAAAATTCTTTGTGTTGGACAGTAACATGAGCAAGGGTCGTGGCAATCCTTCCTCTTCTCCCACCTTATAAAGCTAAGCTCTCTGCTCAATGGTGGTTGAAGCAAACTAAGAACTGATGGCAAAACCAAACTGAGCTTCAGTTATCCTTCCTTCTCGCTGTTTATTAGCCTTGGGTGTGGGTGTAACTATTGAGGCTGGAAATGCTGCACATCTGAGAATTGTCCTCCATTTAGATCACTGCATATCTCTCAGGGGAGGATGGGCCCTGAACAGTGCAGAGGATACACAAACTTTATAGCATCCTAAACATGAAAAGAGCCAATTCTACCTGGTTTGTGTCAGGAAAATAATTTGCAAGATTATTTAAAAAATAAATCTACCTGAATTACTTGCAGTTGTCAAGAAGCCTGTCGATGAAAAAGTGGAGATGACCACTCAGAGGGTTACAGAAGAAAAAGTCAAACGAGCTGAGGGTAACTACTGTTTAATTACCTTAATGTCATCTTTACATTAAAGTAGTGGCTATTGTTACTTAGCTGATCTGCATACCCTTTATCTTTACTTAACAAGGGTCTGATCAATTTTTCAGTCTTTTAAAAATCTAATAAAAGCTTCTGCTTAATTCTTTAGAATAAGATTAAAAGCTTTTTAGGGGAAAATACTAAATGCAAATGCTAACTACCAATCCTTTAACAGAGGAAGTGAGTGTAAAATTGCACTGGGTGAAATAGTGTGTCTCTAAGCTGAAAAGGGGAAATTCCCATCTTGCTGAGATTTCCATCTTGACCCATCTACCAGGATATCTTGGTTAATTGTTTGGTTATGAAATAAAGATTTACCCATATTCTCTCAGCAGCTACTTCCTTTTTTATAGCATTTCCAATTCTGCAGCAAGATTCTATCAGCTGCAATTCAATATATGTCAGGAAATGACCTGTGTGCTAAATGTCCTGAGTTACCCAACCCCTTTGGACAGTAACAATAAAATGAAAAATCACATTCCTTTTGCTGCTTTGTGTGGTTCCAAGATGCCTGACTTAGCTACTGAGTTAGCTTCTTTTTGTCTTTTTTATTGTATTTTCAATATTACTGCTAGATAGCTGTAGAATTATTTTAATCTCTTTGATAAATATTTGACTGAATAACAAAATTCTAATGCCAACAGTTACCAAGAAAGTTGTGCCACCAAAACCTACACCAATGGTCATTGAGGAAAAAGTTATGAAAAAGGAAGGTACAGATCAGCATCTCTCCATTACAGTTTACATTTTTTCCAGCATCCTGTGTGTTTCTGTGCATCTTGTCAATATGTGGGCCTGTGTGTATGTATGTGGATCTATTGTACTAGTCACACAGTAACTACTCTCAGTGTTTAAATAGTATGTGTACCATGCTTTAGTCTTTCATAAAGTCTGTTTTTAACATGTTTGTGGCTAGATTTTTGCTTCATGTTTAAGCAGCCTACAGAATATTGCAGTATGATTTAGCTTTTTCTTCATCTGTTCTGCCTGCTGGCCCATCCTTACATAATAAGCATAATTGTGTCCAAGTTACCAAAAATATCTTTGAAGAACTGCCTTTGGAATTCTTTTGATGTACTATTTCCAAAAGCCTGTGCATGCATTTGTTTTCAAAGGTGTCTGTGTCTGTAGTCTTTAACAAATACTAAATATTATATTTGTGTGCTTGTTTTGTGTTCAGTATTTTAGAATATGAATACTGACTGTCTAAATATGTCTAGTACTTTAATGTGCAGTACAGATAAAGATTTGATAAAAACTCACATGCTGACTACCACTAATCTGGATCTAGAATAGAAAATACTAAAACAAAATCCTATCTTTAAAGTACCAACAGTAGAAACATGGACTGTTTCAGAAGAAAAGATGTCAGTTTCTGTCCACAGAGAAGAAGAGTATTCATATGTTCCAGGTATGTACAAAACCAAAAATCTGTGAACCCAAATCAAAAACCATCAATCCTACTAGACTTTCTTTTGATCTATTTTTATGTATGGCAAATTACATATTTAGACACATCGTATATTTGTCTTTCAGTATGCCTTGCTTCTTTTTGTTCATTGTGTGATGTAGCCTTAGTTTTCTTTAACCTAATATATGGCAACATTTCAACTATTTTATCTTAATATTGTTTAAATGCTTTTCTTTGAAGAGCCACCAGAGCATGAGAAAACAGTTGAAGAAAGATTCTATGAAGCTGTTTACGCAATTGAAGGTAGATTGATTAAGGATGTGAGGCTAAACAATATTTGAGTTTATTTGTTTGTTTGTTTGTTTGTTTGAATTTGAATCAAATTCATTGTGAGGTTTGCTGTTGATTTTCGGTATTAAATTTTTTTACGTATTAGCATACATGTTTCAGTGACCATTGTGTACTGGACACACATAATATCTTCTTCAAGTTTTTCAGATTTACTGTGGATATTGATATTACTTATCTCAAAATTTAATATCTTTAAAATTCCTATTATAGCACAAAGGGAAGTTGAGGAGGAGGAAGAAGTCATTTCTACAGAACTGGAGATCCCTCACGTTGAAGGTGAATAAAGTCTTTGCATCATTGTGCGCCCCATTTTTCTGAACTTTCACTTTATCTGTCTCTAATACTGTTTACCAGAGGATAGCATAAAATAACTGAGATCTTTTCATTTCTCTATGGCTCTACTCTCCAAAGTTCAAGCCCTACTCCATTTCTGAATCTTCTTATTCTTCAACACTGCTTTAAATAATTCTTTTAATAGCTTTTTTGAGACTAGTATATTGTATATGTTTGATAAAACAGCATAATTTTTGATATAGATTGTTTGCTTATACACCATGTTGAAAGCAGCCTACTGTGATTTACCAAGTATTTGAGCTATCTCCTAAATGATCACCACCTATCTCTTTAAAGTGCCTGAGGTACCAAAGAGGCGTGTTCCAGAAGAAAGAAAGCCTATTCCTGTCCCTAAAACAGAAGCTCCATCGGCTAAAGGTATTTCTACTGCCCTAGTAAAAAAAGAAAAAAGCAAAACCCAAACAAATTGTCTTTCATTGTATAATATTTCATGTTTTCTTGAATATCTTATGAATTTACTCTCTTTGTGTCTTTGCTTTTGTATTACCTGCATATGCATTATTTGATTTGGCATTGTCTCCATTGCCCATTTTCGCTTTTTCAGTTGTGCTATAACAACTTACAACTGGAATTTGTCTCAGCTTGAGCCCTTTTCTTTCCTAACGGTCTTGTGCTTATTGTTTGTATTTAGGCTGTGTGGATTTTGGAGGCAAGGGTAGGGTGTTTTTACTTCAATAGAGTCCCATAAAATGGGATAGTGCAGTGAATTTGACACTGGAGTCTTATACTGTATCATAGTGTCTTTCTTGTATAGTCTGTATATGTCCAAAAGGCTGTACATTGTGTTGGTTGCAGTGCTCAGCTCCTTGTCCAGGCACTGTGTTCATTCTATAAAACAATCTTGGATTACTGAAATCTGTATAAGTGTTCTGAGAGCTAAAGATCTCTTACTTTGACAATGTTTCCAAAGTGCCTGAAGTCCCTAAGAAACCTGTTCCAGAAAAGAAAGTTGCTGTTGCTAAAAAGGAGGTGGCTCCCCCAGCAAAAGGTACAGTATCTTTTGAATGTGAGCTTTAACCAGTCACGTGCTATTGTCCTGTTTTCCTAACTGTTATTCATTTCTCAACATAAGCTTCTGATACGTGCAGTCTTTGTGTGTTTTCTTGGATGTGTGTTCTCATCTAAGCCATTCAAAAGCCTTAGAAAGATTACTTAAAAGAATTTTAATACCTTTAGAGTTTCTAAAGTGCTAAAAAACCTGTGCCTGAAGAAAAAGTACGTTTGTGTTCCCAAAGGAGAACATCTGCATGCCAAAGACATACTTACTGATGGAGTGTACGTTACCTGTTGAATTTTATTTTCCCATTAGTCTGTATGTAATCATGTTTATTTTTATGCATAATCCTCTTTTATGTATAATTCTCTTTTTATGTATAATTCTCTGTGCACGTATGAGAGTTTTTAAGGCCAAGTAACATATCTGAGCAGCTCTTTCTTCAGTTAAGAATTCAGTCTTAAATAATTTGACAGTCTTTGAGCAGCTGGTTTGATTTTATTTTTGTTCAAACATATGTTGCTCTTGTCTTATATCTTTCTATGTTATATGGTATGTCTTGGTATTCTTATAAATGGATTAATGAAATCTATAATGCTCCAATAAATCTTTGAAATACAGAATTCAATTATCTTATATTTTATCCTTTTTAAGTGCCGGAGGTGCCTAAGAAAGTTCCCCCAGAGAAAAAAATTGATGTTCTAAAAAGAGAGGAAGCTCCAACACCTAAAGGTACACTTAAATAAATAACATTCTTTTCTTATTATCTTAAACATCCTGTTTATGTGCAATTTTAGTTTTTATTGTTAAGTGAATCTGGTTTTATTTGTACTTCAGTTATGTTAGATATGTATCTTTTGTGTCAGTTTTGTGGATAAATGTGCTATAGATGCAGTTTTAAAGCACCAGTTAGTTTTAGCTAATAATATTATAATTAATACCTTTGAAGTGCAAGAAGTACCTAAGAAACCAGCTCCAGAAGAAAAAATTCCATATGTTGCTAAAGTAGAAGCTCCCCCTGCAAAAGGTACAATACAGTTCACCACAGTATCATTTACTGTAGTCTTTAGACTACAGTGTTTTTAGAACATACAGTATTCTTTAGAACATTTAATTTGTTTTGTAAACAAAATATGTCTATGTGTAGTCTTTTTGAACAACACATTTCTTTTAAATGATGCATTTGCCAGTTTTTACTTCAGAGGTTCTAAAGCAAATACTTTTTTTAAGTGCCTGCAGTTCCTAAGAAACCTATCCCTAAAGAGAAAGTATCTCCTGCTGTTCCTAAAAAAATTGAGGCTCCTCCACCTAAAGGTATGCTTTCCAGCAGAATACAAGAATAGGCTGTTTCTCAGCTTATGTTTATATGTTCTGTATTGTAATCAGTTGTTGATTTGTGCTTCCCCTGTGAATTCTGCTGTTCTGATTCAGTGACAGTGAATCATTACATTATGTTGTATATGTTGTACAATACCTATAAAAATGTTCTTTCTGAATATTGAATCTCTGTTATATGTTATGTGCTCAGTACCCTTAAGCAATTCTTTGGAAACAAATTTAGCATTTTGCAACATTGCTCTCACAATGGAACTGGAAAAGTATACATTTAATATTATTATCTTTCAAAGTGCCCGAACTGCAGAAGAAAGCCACTTTTGAAGAAAGAGTACTTATTACAGAAGAAAGAGTATCTGTTGCCATTCCAGAGGAAATCCCACTACCTGAAGGTACATTATAAACAGACGAATGAGAAACTTAAGCTTTGTCTGCAAGTCTGTTGTTCTAAAACCAAGATCAAAATACACAAAAATTTTGTGTTGGTTGTCTTGTATGAGTTTTGTGTTGAATATTTTACAGATTTACAGGCAGCTAAGAGCCTTCTGAGTGTCATTTACCATTTCAGTCTTGAATGCCAGGGTCCCACCACATTGTCAGGAGTGGAAACTCTACCATGGAATATAGTGATCTTCAGATCAGGATCTCATAAAATTGTAGTAGCAAATATGGATATATGGTTTAGTTTAGACTCCTCCATCCATTTGTCATAAACTATACAAAGCTCTCTGTGGCCCTGCAGATAACAATATTGTTTCCCTCTGCAGTATTAGCTTCCCCCCAGCTTTCAGTTCACATTCTCATACTCAAGGGAGACAGATCAGTTGTTTTAAGGTAGTATAATTCTGCATAAAATCTGCTTCAAGGTAACAAATCAGCATTTTGTCTGTTTTTATATCCCATTAATAACTATCCAGTGAAGACAATTTATATTTTCCATTAAAAAGCATAATGAGTTTTTAGAAGCAAATATGAAAATCCTCTATCTAAAACATGAACTTGCAAATTATATTCCTATGGATATGTGCAGTGTTAATTTCTGTTTGTCTGCTGCAAATTAACTTTTTGCCCAGAACAAGTTGATGCTTTCCCTGACACAGTCACATTTGCTGATGTGCACATTCCAGGCATTTCTTTCGATTCCTGACTTATTCCTCTCATCTTGTTCCTTTCCTTCTCACATTCATATACTTGGAGCATGGAGCAACCTCCAATTTTTTATTCTTATTTCCTCCACCTCAACTGTTGTGATGGGGAAGTTTGGGGAGCTGAGGCATTCTGATGAACTGACAGTTGACCAGTGTATGGTATTAGAGAGATACAACAACACACATGGACAATACATGTAATTTAGGTCAAATGGTACATATGTATCTGCACAGCACTTTCTGTACTGTATGCATATCTGTCATTGTCATATAGAGTTTGTAAGAATTGCTCTTCATCTTCTCCATCCATCGATCCCTCCATCTCTCCATCTATCCATCCACCAAAAATACTAAAACTAATAATTTTCCTTAAAGAACCAACAGTAGAAGAATGGTCTGAAGAAGAAACAGAGGAAGTATCTATCTCCATTCACAGAGAAGAGGTTTCTGAAGGTATGACAACAATTCAGGAATACTAGGCAAAAGCAAAAAAGCAATTTTTATTTTGTCCCAAAAACTAGTGTGGATTAATATCTACTTTAAGGAAGAATTTACTACTATATAAATAAATTTCATAACTTACAAATTTTAATACTAAGAATGTTTACAATTTCTATTACCTGCTTTTGAAAAATGTAGTAGTTAATCCTGTTGTGATATAGGGAAAATAACGAGGTATCTCTTGGATATTGAGATCTCTCAGCCCTTCTTTACAAAAATCATCTGTTGGAAGTTCCTCTTCCACCAGGTTGCTTGAATGAAATAAAGGTCCTTTAGGATATCATGGTGCCTGTGATTACTCAGGCAATTTCAGCATAAAATGACTGTATTGTTTCCACCTGTAAGTTTATTGGTGGCAACATAATACTGTGAAGGACAATAAATAACACTGATTGACTCAATTTCTGTTCAAAGGGACACCATAGAAAGATTTTTCCAGGGTCAGCTTTTGTCAAGGAATTTTCTTGGTACTTGGGAGAGAAGCTTTTTCAAAATGGACAAATTCCAACATTAGTGAACTAGTGAACAGAGGAATGGACTAAGCATTTTCATATTCCATGCAAATTCAATATGAGAGCTCAGTCTCTCAGTTTCATTTAAGTTGCTTGGAATGTTTCCACTGGCCTCAGAGAGAGCAGGATGGCTTGAGTATAGATTTTGTAATACCAGAGGTGTCTGTTAGTAATGCACACTGCTTATCCATGTCTTACAAGTATTTTGTTGCTTACCAGGGCAACCATAAAGACAGTAATATATGTCAAGCACTTAAGTATTTTTATATTTTACTCTTTCAAAGTGACTGAAGAAGAGTCTTACTATATAGAGGAAACAGTAACAGTTCCTAAAAGAGAGGAAGCCCCAACCACAAAAGGTATATGTTCTTTGCACTACAACATGTTGATTGTTTCATTACTCAACATTATGTTGCCACTCTGTGTTTACGTCCATTTGTGTCTTTTTTGTATGAAAGAAATATGTTCATGTTGTAGTAATACTATGCCTCTATGTAAAACTATATATTGTAATTTTTTTAAGTGCCTGAGAAGTACAGGAAAGTTGTCCCTGAACCAAAAGTCCCAGCTGCTCCTAAGGAAGCTCCAGGAGTTAAAGGTATAAATTAGTTCCTCAGCCCAGTGATGTATCTTCAAGGGGATTATGTTTGTCTTACTGTCCTGCTTGTACATGTTGACACGAGTAGTGTCTACTTGCAGTCGTGAATGCTTGTCTCAAATTCCGTCTTATACTTTGAAAATTATCGTTTCTTGTACCATGAAAATTATTGTTTGTGCTAACTTGGTAAAACACATTGTGAAGTAGAAGGCAGTTTCAAATGTTACATCTTAATATTCTTTCTCATCTTCCTTCTCATCTTACACATTTTTCTAAAGTTCCTGAAATCCATAAGAAAGCAGTTCCTAAAGAGAAAGTACCTGTCCCTCTGTCTAAAAAAATGGTGGCTCCACCAGCAAAAGGTATAGCAGTGGTTTGTTCTTGTTGCAAAAAAATTGTTTTGCTGTATTCCATCTTTAACATATTTGCATGTTGACACAAAATATATCTCCCATATCAAATTTCTTCGACATTAAACATGTACTTATATTTGTTTGTCTACCATGACACCTGTGACCTGTACTGTCTTGATGAGATTTATTTTATTTCATCTTCTATCTTATGCCTGTTGATGAAATCAATCAAATTTTCTAAAGTTGCCCAATCTTTTTTAAGAACCTGCAGAAAAACAGGTGCCCACTTTTGAGATCGAAGTTGAAGAACCTCCAGCAACCAAAGGTAAACAGAATATTATGATCATGGAGATTCTTTAGTTTGGCCTAGCAGTATTTGTGTTTAAGTGTTTTACTTAAATACAGTTTTGTTTGTTAGTATCTGTAACATTTGTCTGGATCTCCCCTGTCTTTTGACTATTTACTCATTTTTGTGCTATGGCTGTAAATTACTCTTTCCTGCAGTGTCTCGTTTTTGTTGCTGTTGAAGTTCACTTAGCACTTTCTTTTTAAACAATCAGAATAAGTAGAAAAAACTTACATATATCTGTATTTCAAGTATTGCAATAAAATAATCTTACACGTTATTTTTAAGTGACTGAAGTGCACAGGAAAATTATCACAGAAGAAAAAGTTGCAGTTGCTAGAAAAGAGGAGGCTCCACCAAAAAAAGGTATATAATTTTCAGAGTTACACAAGAGAAGTGTTGTTTCAGAGCAGTGGTTTATATATATGTCTAGTTATCTAATATAAACTGTATTGTTCAGTGTTTACTGTCTTTTTTTTTTTACTTGAAGAAATGTCAAGTCTCTACATTTGTGTTTTGTCATCTGATTGTATTCATATATTGTGATTAATTCAACATCTTTTAAAATAAACTCTTTTTAAAAAAGTGCCAGCGGTGCCCAAGAAAGCTGTGCCAGAAGACAAAGTACCCGTTCCAATTTCACGGAAAGTGGCAGCTCCACCAGCTAAAGGTATACAAAAGTCCTTGAAAGTAGACAGGGCTTCTAAATATTAGATGTCCATGTGCATTGTACTCACAATCTGCCTGGTTAATCAAATCTGTCTCTCCTGGTTTGATCATAAATGAAAAGGACCTTTGTCTTCTCCCCTGAAAAGAATGCAGAAGGTGACAGAGAATAGTCATACACCTGCATTCCTTGCATTTTCTAGCTATTATTTAACTTCATTGATCACTGTGTGCTTGAGTGCCTTGCAAAGCTGAGTGAAGACATTTACTCAGTGAAGAAGTTAAATAAATTTGAACACATTTAGAAAAAAATTATCAGTGTTTTATAACATTGTCAATATTCAAGTGATGGGTCTCAAAATTACAAATATGTCCTCTTTTCTGTGCTTTTTTTGTGTTTGAAACGTGACTTTGTTACGTATCATGTGTGTGTGGTGTTCTGTGGTTGAATTGCATTTCTGAAGAGTCTGGAGGCAGAATATTTACATCTGGCTTTCATCTCAATCATTCCATCTTACTTCACAATATGTGAATATTCTGTTTGGTTTTGATTTGTTTTGGTCTATGTATCTATTACTCTAATATTATGTGTATTATACTAGTACATATTATTTTAATATTTAACTGCATTTCTGCTGTTACTAAAACAGTGTTTCAAAGTGTCTAATTTTTCTGAGCAATTTATTTCTGCAACCTGCCAAATTACTGGTCTTCAAAATACTTAATGCATATCTAGCTACTATGCATTAAAGCTTCAACTGGTCATTTTCTCAGTTAATTTATGTGTCTTTATGTTCGTATGTCTCATGTGACTGTTGTGTTTATTATAAGTATATTTTCTATGTATTAGTGTACTACTTTCCTGTAATTTTGTCCATTATTCTTTTTCTGAACTTCAGAAAGTGTGTGATTTCTTTTAGAATTTAGTATTCTTACAATTACTATCTTTAAAGTGCAAGAAGTGCAGAAGAAAGTTGCCAGAGAAGAAAGAGTATCCGTTGCTGTTCCAAAAAGAAAAGTGTCTCCACCACCAGAAGGTACTCCTGCCCATGGATTAATCTATGAATATATTGTCCTCAGGCAATATGACCAGAGTTTCAAGCCTACTGTTCTGACACCTTTCTTGAGGTTCAAATTTAGAATCATAGAATCATTTAAGATGGAAAAGACACTTAAGATCGAGTCCTATTGTTAACCTAACGCTACCAAGCCTATCAATATGATCCACCATAGTCCCAAGCGAAAGTTTACAGAGTCTTTGAGAAACACTACAGACATTTTCACCAATTACTCTGGGTATGGGAGGTGTCAGGAAATAATAATGATTTTCATAAGAAACTCCAAGTGGGATATTTATTATTGTACATGATATTGTACCAGAGAAAAAAAATATTAATGTTAGACTCTGTCTTTGAAGTACCAACAGAAGAAGAACACTGGGCTATTTCAGAGGAAGTATCCATTTCTCTCCACACAGAAAAGGAAATTTCATACACAGGTATGAAGACTAAAAAGATTCTGTGTCCTGTCCAAATTTACATCTTGTCACCTACTTTAAAAAAAAACCAAAAAAAACAGAGAGAGAGAGAGAGAACAAAAGAAAATTTTGCATCCTTTGCTTATTACCAGTCTGTCATGAAAGTGAAGATTGTAGAATAGCACAAGACAGTATTCCATTCTCATAAAAGACTTAATTATTTCCTCCTGGCTCACTGCTGTTGTCATAGGAGAACCCAAAAATTTCACTAGGTCCTCCTTCACAAATCTTGCCACCTGTCCAGCCTTTGAGTGGAAACAGGACAGCCTTTTCTTCCATTTAAATTAGCATGCTTTCTTTTCCAAAAACAAAGCAGATCCTCTTCTCTTTTCTAAGAGCAATTCCTCACCTAAATCTGAAGGTCAAATAAAAAATCATTAGCTCTACTGTTGCCTACATGGCTGAGGCACTTAGCCCGATCATGTAATGGATCTGCCTGCTCGAGGGCTTTGAACAAAGTGCACAGCCTTTAAAGAAAATTCATTGTTCTTTCACTTTTGAAGACCATTTGTTGATTTGTGAAAAATGGCCCACAAGATGCCTCACACTTACTGCTTTTAGACCTGCTACCGTTGATAAATGGTATTATCATATTCATATAATGAAAGATTAATACAATCGAATCAATGTAAAGCTAAATAATCTATTTAGTCTCTAATAAGAGGGGGACAGGCATATCATAAGTAGTTAGATGATCTTTGACTGGTTCTCTGTAAGGCAGGTCTAATTTGCCAGCTGGTCTGGAGAAAAAAAGGTCAAAGTAGAAGGATGTTAAATGCAACAGTTCTCCAATGAGATACCAGGCAGAGGTGTTTTAGCTGAAAGAAAAGAATCCAAAGGAACCCGAGTTTTCTGAAAAGAGCACTCATGCACAAAGCAGTTTGTGTTATCAAATCCACCAAAGTTACCAGTTCCAATCAGTTTTAGTCTAAGATTTCAAATGCAAATATACCTGGCACTTTTAATTAAATATCTAACAGGACTCTACCAGAAAATACTTAAAGAGCTAGACAGTCTTCACATTGCCTCAAAAATAACACCCACTTGGCAAGCATCAAGACTTGTGGCAGCCACTCATCTATGCTCACTGTAGCTCGTGATGAAGAAAGCATCTAGAAATTCTCAAATCTATCACTGACAGAAGGGATTCCATCTCTTAAGATGGTCAGAAAAAAATCTCCAATCTGTGAAGAAAAGGCCAAAGTTATTCTCTAACTTGACAAGTCTCCCAGATGTTAAAATACCAGGGTAATTTTCTGTGCAATTTCCAGCTGTATTGACATCTACCTCAGAAGACAACATCCATGCACTTCTGTAAAAGAGAATATGCTGCTTAAACATAGCATGCATTCTGTCCTAAGTAAATCTTAAATACTGAATTTATCCACACCTTAATCTTCTGGAAATTTTCCTGCTTTTATAGGGAATGGCTTCTTGCCATGCCTGAACAAACAAGCCACTTGTTTGTAAAGTAATTGACAGAAGAGGAAAAATACCTTCCTCACTGAGCAATTAATTCTTTTGCCTTTATTTAGACTGGAGGTCTTATCTATTGTTAGTCACTCTCAAAGTTTTTCTCCAGGTGCTCCCTCACCTTCATCTACGGTTTTCTAGGGAAATCTTTTGTTGCCAGTGAAGAAGGACTCTTGGTCTATTCCTGAGGTAGTGCAAAGTGTCACTGCTAAGGAGAGGGGCTGCTACAGTGGAGAGTGAAATTTAGTGATTTTGTAATTGGATGGATTTGGATTTTGAGTTCTGCCCAGCAGCAAGCTTAGCTTCACTGTTGGCAACATTGGATGAAGCAAGAATTGTATCGGCTGCTTATATTGGTATCTTGAAAAGTTTGTTTTTTCTTAATTGAAAAGTAGTCTAGTGACTCCCCTAACTACATGTCCAGTGTCAATAAGCACACTTGTCCTTTACATGTCAGCCATGTGTTTGTAAGATATCTTTTTCTGTTTCTTGCCAAGAATATTTTTGCTTTTAAACAAAACATCTAAAAATTCTTAAATGTAATTGTAATGTATCTTTTAAGTGCCTGATGTACCAGAGAGAGCTATCCTTCAAGAAAGAGCACCAATTTATCCTCCTAAAAAAATGGCAAGACCACCAGCCAAAGGTATACTGGATAGAGCATTGAAATATATTATAATTTTTTTTGTGTCTTGTATGTTCTGTGTACAGTGAGTACTGTTTGTTTTCTGTGGAATGTTCTTCCTTTGGTTAATTCCTAGTTGGCAATGCCTTGTGATCCTTATTATTAGTAAGATCTATGTGCTAAATGTTAAGGTTCTTTTAATTGGTATCTTTTCAAGTGCCTGAAGTACGCAAGACAGTTGTCCGAAAAGAAAAAGCGTATGTCGAAGTTCCTCAGTATGAAGAGGAAGAAGAAATTCCAAAATATGAGGAGGAAGAAACCACCAGATATGAGAAGGAAGTAATCCATTACGAGGAGGAAGTTCACCGTTATGAAGAAGTTAGTCACTATGAGGAAGAAGTTCCTCAGTATGAAGAGGAAGAAGTCACACATTATGAAGAAGAAGCTGCTTATTATGGAGAGGAAGTTGCTGAATATGAGGAGGAAGAGTCAGAGGTTCCTCAGTATGAAGAGGAGGCTCCCCTACCAGTTAGAGGTATACTTTAGGGTTTGTGTGAGAAAAAGTAGTATCTTTTCATTCCATTAAAATACCAAAGCTTTGTTTGTTTTAAGATGTTCTGGTGTGCTTTACAGTCTGCCTTTTTTCAAGATGTTTATTGATTAGTATGTAGTTTAGAAAACCTGTGATGACTGTATGTCTACTCTTTACTACCTCTATAAATTTAAATGTTCCATGTCATACATGTTCATTCCTCTTTCATATGAACTGCGTATAACCCACTAAGAAAATTTAACTGAGCTTAATTTCATCCTCATTTGGAATCCACTTTTGCTATCAGACTGTGCTTGAAATACTTAGAAATGCTTATGTGATATCTGCAATCACAGACAAAAAAATATATTTGTCTAGAAAATAGATGGGAAATGTAATTTAGGAACACAAATCACATTGAATTCCACTCAGAAATCTTTGAAAACCCTATGGTTGATGTCTATTTCTGTCCTAAAGGGACATGAAAAAAAAAGATACAAAAGTTTTATTGAATATCCACATTTAAATACTCTTAGTTGTAGGTGTTTCCCTTAGGACTAATTTTTATGGTACTGGTATACATTTACTACATTGTTAGTACAGGATGAACATGATATTCACTACTTAGGAGAACTTAGGTCATTCCAAGACCTCAATACATGATAATATAAAGATATGAATCATCAATATCCGATTTTCCAAAATCATGTAATCATCTAAGAGTATTTAAAAATGCATACTTTCCAGTCCTGATCCAAATAATTCCATAGTGTCTTTTCCCCAAAAAGAAGTTCAGAATTTCTTTTGATTAATTAGTGAATGCCAAAACTATATTTAACACTGTTTGCAGTAGAATTTCGACAAATTGATTGGCATATTTTTCATAGTTGAGAAAAGGTGAGGCTGCACACCTCAAAAGCCAAGTTAATCCTGAACAGGAAGATTAGTGTTGGTTAAAATTTCCTTTGACTCTGTCATTGTAGCTAAGTTTAATGCATACCTGCTCCAAACTTCCTTCGGTATGCTCAGAGCCAGTGGGACTCCTGTCATTGTAAAACTTTTATGGATATTTCTGGGGTTTGGAGTACAAAAAGAAGTTTATGTACATTTTAGCTGAAACCTTTGCCTCACTGCAGTTAAAGGGAAAGTCTGTTGATTTCAGAAGAATTAAGTGGGGAGTTTTAAATATTTCATTTACTCAACAAATTTGGTATAAACTGCTGGGTACTTTTAATGTCTCCATAGTTCTGTGCTTGAAGTTAAGTCAGGTGATAAACTAGATGTCCTTGGGTCTTTTGGAAGAAAATCAGCAATTTATATTTAAGACATATACATGATGAGATGCAATCTATTAAATGCCTGAGTTGCTACTTTAGGATCATAGTTCTAGGGAAAAATATGGAAAAGTAGTAAAAACACTAACTATCTAATACAGCAATTCAGTAACTGTTTGTTACAATGTTTGTATTTTTGCAAATTTCCCACTGTGACACTTTACAATCTTCTTTAATAGCTGCTTCTAAAATGGCAAACTCTCTCTTAATCTTCTGATCTGCAAAAAAGCCCTTGAAGTTAAAAACATATTTATTGATGGCTCAGTGGCTGAGCTGGGAGAATGCACATAATAACAGCTAATATAATATTTGCTCTTTTATTTTGTCTTAATGATGAAATCCTGTTAAATCATAGCTGTATGTTTTGAGTGTGTATTTGTATGTCTGTTTGCACTTTGTGTTCCCACTGTTATAGAAGTAAATACCTAAAACATTAATGGTATCTTTCAAGTGCCTGAGGTTCCCAAGAGGCCTGTTCCAGAAGAAAAAATACCTATTATGAAGAAAAAAGAAGCTCCTCCAGCAAAAGGTATATATCTTCTCTTTATCTTAGCAAACATCCTCTGAATATGTAATTCACATTATATTTCAACTACCTTAAATGATTATTACCTTTTTCTGCCCGTTTTGGAGGGGGCTCTTCATATGAAATATCTGTGTTGCTGTCTTTTTTGTTTCATTTCTGTTTTGAGTAGCTTGTGGTTTGTTTTTTAACCAAAATGATATTTTTGAAGTGCCCGAGGTGCCAAAGAAACCTGTACCTGAAAAGAAAGTCCAAGTGCCGAAGAAGGAAGCTCCCCCAGCTAAAGGTAAATGCACTTGTAATTACCTGTGATCAGAAAGATTCTCTAAAGTTCATTTATCTTCTCACTTGTTTTAAAAGCTAGGATAGTAAAAGAATTGTTACTCTTAAGAATTGTGGTTCTTTTTGTTTGTGTTTAATTGTTTAGTGTGACTGGCTTGCATGTCACCTTGTTTTAGACTCTCATTCCAAGCTCAATTTTCAATATCTTACTAAGTTCCAGAAGTACCAAAGAAACCTGTTCCAGAAGAGAAGGTTCCTATTCCTGTACCAAAAAAGAAGGAAGTTCCACCAGCCAAAGGTATATCAACTCTTGACTGAATGTGTTACAAAAATATTTAAAAAGTCAGTCTATGTTCATCTTTCCTCTTTTAATATAATGTAGAATGAAGAAAGTTTTCTAGTCTTGACAGTAATTTGTCATTCCACTTTACTGATTTATATCAATGTTCTTTACGGTATGGTTCAAAAATGAAATTCTTAAGCTACAATAATATTTTTTCAAGTGCCTGAAGTACCAAAGAAACTTGTGCCAGAAGAGAAGGTACTTGTCCCAGTGCCTAAAAGAGTGGAAGAGCCTCCAGCAGCCAAAGGTATACACCAGTTTCTGGTTCAACTCTGTGATTCTAGTTTTGTTTCTTCAGCTTTAGAAATCTGCCAGTAACAATCCCATTCCTCAGCTCAGTGTGTTTGAACCACTCGCTGGCCTGTGTTTGATCAGAACACTGTGGTTGTGTCTGTTAGTCACGGATGCTACGCTTATTCTATGCTTTGAAAATGTCTATGTTTGTGTATTGTATTGTCTCTGTCTTTTGGATCTTATATTTCTAAATAATTTTAAAGTACTTGCTGTTTCAAAAACAGATGCTTCAAAAGATACACAATGTACCTAAACAGCAAGCTTCCTCCTTAACCTTACGACACCAATTTGTAATGCTGTAGTCTATGTGTGTTTGTGAGTTTACATATGTGCATAAATCTGTGGATAAAATTATGCTAACTTTCATACACAATTAGATTTTACAATAAATGTGTGGTTATCTTATCTTTTTACCATGTCTTATCTTACATTGAAAATTAATTCCTTAAACAAAAATGTCTTTTAAGTGCCTGAAGTGCCCAAGAAAGTTCCAGAAAAGACAGTACCTGTCCCTGTACATAAAAAGCCAGAACCTCCACCAGCCAAAGGTATTGATTCTTATAACTGACCATGTAGACGATGCTTCTTGTTGTTTCTTTTTGTTTGTTATTAGAATGTAATTGAAATATTATAGCAGTTTGTGACAAATGTACTTGCTAATTCATACTCTTTAGCTTCTGTGTAAGTTGTCTCTCATTTTCTGATGTTGTGTCCAAGTTTTCTACAATTAAACACTATCTTTAATGTACCAGAAGTACCAAGACCTCCCAGTGAAGAGGTACATGTTTTTGCTCCTGAAGAAGAAGAGGAAGAGGAAAATGTTCCAGAGATACCAGCAAGAGGTACACCATTCCTTCCTGAAGATTATGAGAGCTTTGTTCAATTCATTAAGATCTTCATCTCCATTCATTGTTAAGCTTGGTGTGAATCTTAATTAACCTTCTGAGGGGAGTTTTCTTGTTCTTCTTGGTCTGTGTGCCTTTGTTCTGTGGTTTCTGTAGTTTTGATGTTCTAAAAACAATTAAAAATTTCTTATCAAAACAATATCTTTAAAGTGCCAGAGGTGCCCAAGAGAACTGTCCTAGAAGAAAAAGTACCTGTTGCAGTTCCTAAAGTAAAGAAAATTCCACCGTCTAAAGGTATATCACATCATGTTGTATGCAGATAATTCCTCTCCCTCTTATTTTCATATTTCAGTGGAATCTAATTTTAAAATTCAATTTATAGTCACGTAAAGTCAAATCCTTGATTCTGGCACTCCGCTGCTTCCCTGTAGTGAGCAGTGCTAGGGCTCAGACATGACTTGATTGTCTATTTTTTTATTGGTTTCAGCAGGCTGAGAATCAAACCTTGAATGACTTGCTTTTTTTCCCTTTTAAATGATCACTGTGAATTAAATCATTCATTGTGATGCTATAATTCTGAACTAATTTTTAAATTAATTTTAGTTTAAATTAATTAATTTCAACTAATTTTAAAATTAATTTAACTAATTTTTCAAATAATTTAAATTTTTTTGAAACAGAAAAGCACTATCTGAAATAAAATGTTATTTTTACCTGGAAATTCTTCAATTCTGGGAGATCACTCTTACGTTTACCTTGAGAGTATGCTAAATTCTCAAGTTTTTTAGCTAAACTTATACAAAAATAAAAGCAATTCAAAACTGACTATAGAAATAACCAGATTATATACCCTAAATGTGAAATTCAAGGAGGAGGCAGACTATTGCAAAGGCCAAGCAAATTCTTCCTGAGCAGCAGAGTTTTTTAGGAAAGCAGACACTGGAAGGTTTTTATGTAAAAAAAAAAAAACCTAGATGCTAATAATCTTCCTTATCCTCTGTTTTGTAGCATATTTTGGTAATATTTTCTGTTTACAACAACACTGTGGAATTAAAAATTGGGCAAAATAGCTATTTCTCATATAATCCTTGTAACCAAGTTGCACATTGCTGCTGCCAGGGAGCAAAAAATACCTAATAGAGTTTCCCCTATTTTTTTACTGTTTTATTACTGTTGCTATGTTAAAATTACTGTCCCTGAGTTTTATGTTATGAATTTTTCTTTGTGATGTTGTGAAAGTAAAGTTCTTAAAATAATATCTTTAAAGTGCCTGAGGTGGCAAAGAAAGTTGTGTCTGAAGAAAAGGTTCCCATTTTTGTTCCTGAGGAAGAAGGAGAGGAAACTATTCCAGAAGAAACTGTACCAGCAAAAGGTACACGATCTTTTCTTGCAAATTACTCATGACATCTTTTGTGTTCATTGGTGTTCCTCTTTATTTCTTGTTCTAAGCTTGACATAAATCTTAAGAATCTTTTTGGGGGAGCTTGTCGTCTTGTTTCATGTTTTTACCTTGTTTCATGTTTTTCATGCTTTTACTGCTCTGAAAGCAATTTTAAAATGTGTTTGCAAAATAATATCTTTAAAGAGCCAGAGATTCCTAAGAAACCTGTCCCAAAAGAAAAAATTCCTGTACCCACTCCTGAGAAACTGGAGCGTCCTCCAGCAAAAGGTACATAAATTAATACTTAGGAAAACAATGTGTTGCTATTTTCATTCAGAGTCTCCATCTAGTTTATTTTGTTTGTTATTTATGTTAGTTTTGTGTCTGTGCTGCCTTTCTGTATTGATGTCTCAAAGTGCCTGTCGAATTCCTAGCTAAAAAAAAGCTCTAAAATGATTTTACATCTTCAAGAAGTATGCCTGTGGATGCAAAGTGTCTTTTGCTTTAATTTCTGTATCATCTTTTAAAAATACATTCTGCAGATCAGTTCTTATGTCATTATGTCTGTTTGTATATGTTTTGTGTTCTCTTTCTCATACTACTGGTGGATGACATTCTTAAAATAAAATGTCTTTAAAGTGCCTGAGATGCCTAAGAAACCCATTCCTGAAGTAAAAGAACCTGTTCCTAAAAAGGTGCCAGCTCCATCAGCCAAAGGTATTGCAGTTTGTACATGCTGTTATCGTTAACTGATAATATTCTTCATACAAGTTGAGTTTAGCAAGGGACATTTTAGTATCTCTGTCTTGTATTACATTTGTCACTATATTGTTTGTTTGTTTGTGAGTCTCTGTTCTAAGCTTCTGGCTTGGTGTCTATTTATAAATTATGCAAAAGCATACTGAAGTTAGGTCCTATCTTTAAAGTACCCAAGGTGACTAAGAAGGTTACACCTGAAGAGAAGGTGCTTGTTGCTCCCCCTGAAAAAATGGAGGTTCCAGCTGCAAAAGGTATATGTAGTTTTATAATTAATATTTATGCTAAAAAGGCTCTTGACCTTCTTCTAACTTTTGTCTCTGTTGTATGAGATTTCTGCTTGAATTTATGTTAAAACTCTTCATTTTCAATGTTTGCATTGTAGAACCGTAAACCTCTGTTTCTTGTGCTTTTTTACGTGTACTGCTCTAAGGTGGTTTGGTTTTTTTAAATTCCTAAACAAAATCTGTATCTTTAAAGTCACGGAGGTGCGTAAAAGAGCTGTTGCGGAAGAGAAAGTACCAGCTGTTGTGCCCAAACCCAAAGAACCAACACCGACTAAAGGTACAGATATCTTTCTTCTTACTTCTCCCAAAGATTTGTTTTTCCTCCTCATTCTAAAATCTTTTATGATATATATATTGTTTCAGAAGAATGGTTTTACAATTTAACTTATGCTTGTGGTTATTGTGTACATTTTCTGTTCTTTGTGAATTATCTTGACTAACTGTAAAAAAAAAAAAAAAAGTCAGATAGTAACAATAATACTCTTTCTAAAGTGCCCGAAGTATCCAAGAAACTTGTCCGGAAAGAAAAAGTCACTGCTCCTGCTCCTGCACCTGCAATGGAGAAGTATGAATACGCATATGAAGAGTATGAGAAGTATGAGACATATGAAAGCATTGAAGAGTTTGAGCGGATTCAGGAAGCTGAAGAAATTGAGGCATATGAGGAACCTGAAGAACCTGAGGGATATAGGGAGATTCAGGAACAGGAATATGCAGAGGAGACCGAGGAAAAAGATATCTATGGAAAGTACGAGTTTAAGGAGAAAGAAGAGATCTATGAGAAATATGAGGAGGTATATGAGGAGGCTTACGAAATCCAACCAGCTATAGGTAAATCAAGTCATGATTTCTTTGTTCTTATAGTGTGTTGTTTCCAGTTACTGCTTAAGCCTCCTATGGGTGTTTATTTATATTTTGCCTTGTTTATAGTCCTATGTTTGTCTGTTGCTGGTAATGATAAATCAATTCAAAGACTGTTTCTATCCTACTCCTTCCCAAGGAATTCTTCCCTTCAGAGTGAAATGGGAGGGTTCCCCACCTGAATACCCAAGAGTGAGTTAGTGTAGATATGACACAGGCAAAGAAATTTATAATTTTCTGATGTAATTCAGCTTCAACATGAATTAAATATTTTTTTTGCATTGATATTTGATTCTTTTGCCCAGTATAGCTCCTTTGAGTTACAGAGATATTGGAGCTCATGTAAAACTTTCCTTTCCACCATTTAAATTATGAGTCCTCTTGTCAAAAAGAAAGTGCATCTGCAATGTACCAAAAGATGTAGGCTGATACTCCTTTGTTTTGTTGTTCAAGAATTCTGAGATTGCCACTTGCTTTTTTTCTGCATAAATTATGAGATGAGTGATTGCCTAGTTTGCTGTGTTTATATCTGTTGTAATTCCTCATAAATAATTTACAATCCACAATGAAATATTTTTTAAAGTGCCTGAGTTGCCCAAAAGACCTCTACCAGAAGAAAAAGTACCTGTTCCTAAAAGAGAAGCTCCACCAGCCAAAGGTACCTCAACTATTCAATACATTTGAAAACACAAGTCTTCTGCCTGAGTCTCTGAATCCCCAAATCCAGTAATTTACCGATTCTGATTTGACTGCTAGATCCTTAACTTTCTTTCGCAGTACAGTCAAAGAAGTGAAGTTACTAAAAAAAAAAAGTATTTCTTTAACAAACCAAAACAGACAAATTTACTTCCTGGAGGCAAAATTTAATTTTTGCCCTTACAATATGTGACATTTTTTAGCTAATCATTGAAACCCTGGTTTCCTGCAGAATCCTAAAAAACTAGAACTTTCTTTAACCTAATGATGTACTGGGATGTATGCAATCTTAGTAGGTGTTCTCTGTAACAGGCTTTACAAAACCTAAGTGTCATGAATAGCAACTGTCAGTGGATGCTAGTACAGTTACTGTACTAGTCCAGAATTTTGTAATTTTCTGTTCATAGCACTTGTTTTGCCAGAATTCATTTCATGATAAGTTCTACAGTTGTTTCTCATATGAATTCCCAGAATTAAATCAGTGGGCAAAAGTGGATTTGCTTGCTTGTTTGTTTGTTTTTACAGAAAGGCTTGGACTTAGTTGGTAGGAAATTAAAACCTTACTGTATTCCCAGCTGCCATTATTTAGAGCTGATAGTTCATGAAACTAATTGTTAAGGCTTATCCTAGTCAAAAATTTACCCAACAACAGCAGTGTTTTTCTTTCATTGAATACCAAAACTCTAGCTATGTGAATCCAAGCAAACTGGTCCGGACAAGTGGCCTATTTTGTATTATGTACATGTATATATGTATTATATATATATATATATTTGTGTTTTGCTAAGATCTCTGAGTCTTTGCACTGCTTGCTTTTTGTTTAACTTCTATTCTTGCATAATACTCATACTGCAAACATTCTTAAAAAAACACCAATGTCTTTAAAGTGCCAGCGGTGCCAAAGAAACCTGTTCCAAAAGAAAAAGTACCACCTGCTGTTCCTAAAAAGGAGACGACTCCACCAGCTAAAGGTATACTTCCTCTGCGTTGTCTTCATGGTATATGAACTCTAATTTCAGTCTTTTGTCCTCACTTTTTGTTGAGAAACCTGCATGTGTTTTATGTCCCCACAGTGGTTTTTTCATCTGTTTGTAAGTGAATATTTTTTACCTGTTTGTTTCAAGTCATTTGTTGAAAACATGTGAGAGTCACTTTAAAAAATGAGTGTTTTGTCATAAGCTGCCCATGAAAGTAGTTCAGAAAGATAGAATATTTTTATTTCTTCTGAAAAGGAATCTTTCAGGAATATATATTTTTAAACATTATTCTTTTGTCTAATCTTCAAAATTAACATAGTCGTTCTTTCAGGAAGTATTTAATTCTTTGATGTTTCAAGAATCTTCCTTGTTAGATTTGCTCTTCTTCTTTCTAACTTCTTCCAAATAGCCTTGAAAGCCCTAAAAGTAAATTATATCTTAAAGGGCCAGACGTTCTCAAAAGAACTGTGCCTGAAGAAAAGAAACCTACACGTACACCTGAAATAGAAGTTCCACCAAAGAAAGGTAAAGGAGGCTTTGATATGAGATCTTATGAAAATATTTGTGCCATTTTTCCTAGCTAACATCTTTTAAAATGATTGCTGTGTCCTTTACACTGTTGCAAGAGTACCCAGTCTCAAGTGGAAATTCAGCTCTCAGTGATATACTGTAAACTCTGAGGCAGATATTTCAGACCTGTGCTAGACAGTAAATCATTGGATTATGAATGAAAACACGCTGAGGAGGTATTTCTAGTTACATTACCAGTATGTAAACCTTCAATGCTTTTATATTTTTAATATGTAGTTGTGAATTTAGTTTAAACTGGGGTTTTGAAACCAATATATGAGTCATGAAATTGCTGAAGTAATAGGGCAAGAGCCAGTAAGTTTAAGACATTAAAGCAGTTACACCTATCCAAAGGAAAAGCATGACAATTCAGTGAGGAAAGCAAATGGATTATGCTCTTTGAGAGCAGAAACTATAAATTTCTTCACATAATTCATTGTTCCATCAAGACAATTCTATAACTGTGTTGTATTTCATTCTCAAAAAGGCATGGTATTTGAGATCTCAAAGGGACTTAGTTTTCTGGGTTTATTTTTGTTTTTGATATTAAAAATGACAAATTATTCTGAGGTTACTAAAAGAAAGCTAATATCTTTGAAGTTCCTGAGTTTCATAAGAGAGCTGTCCTTGAAGAGAAAGTACCCATCATTATCCCTAGAGAAGAGGAGCCTCCTTTCTATGAAGGTACATCAATTACACATCTACCAAACAGTAAATTGCAGAGAATATATCAATTCATGCCCTACAGTGTTCTGTGAAATATGAGATATTTTCAATTAATTTTTAAAAATATTTAGAAGTAACTTATATCCATGACTTTTAAACCAACTCTCTCCCCAAATTTAGGTGTAGTTCAGCATTTTAAAAATTTAAAATTTAAAATGTTAAACTGAATTTAAAAATGGAGTTTAGCATTCTAAAAAAGCTAAACTTTTCTCCTGTGATAATAAGAGAAATAAATGTAAATAAGAGAGAAACTAAGTTGCTGATCCAGGAAACACTTTAATCACACTGGAGCAAAGAAATGAACTTAAGTAGACAATGGTTTAAGAGCCATCCTAAGCAACAACTAATTTTTGAGCTGGGATAGAGATAGTTAACTCCAAATGAGAACATATGAAATTCAGTTACAAACTCTATCTAATACATGAAACTAAGTAACTAGAAACTAAAATTAAACATTTGTATATACTTGTATTGATTGGGAGTGGTCACTTCTAGCAGGCATTGGTAAAGGATTAGGCTGAACTGAGATATTTGAATGACTTATGTTCAAACAGCTCCTTGTCCATATACATGTCTGCATTTTTGCATTGCAAGTTGTCTTTCTACTCTTGTCTTGTAATTAATACTAAAATATGTAAAATAAACTAATATCTTTAAAGAACCTGAAGTTTATGGGGAACTTCCAACAGAAGAAAAAGTCTCTTTTATTGTTCCTACTGAACCAGAAGCTCCAGCAGCTAAAGGTACACCAACTCTTCAAGCTATGTAAAGCAACACATTCCCTACAAATTAATCATCTTCGTCATTCCATCTGTGTGCTAATCTGCTATTAAATGTGTTCATTCTCGTGTTTCCTTAGACACTATGTGTCTGTCATTGCTTCTTTGTTACTTACACTTTGTATATTATAATGTTCTTTAAAAAATGTAATATCTTTGAAGTATCTGCAGTGACAAAGAAAACTGTCCCACTTAAGAAAATACCTGCTGCTGTACCTACAGAAGAAACTCCTCCAGCTAAAGGTACAAGTCCTCCAAATGGATTTTCTCTAACCTCTTTTAAAAGTGAGGTACCAAGTGAGAAACCCAACTTGCTTGTTTTTCTTAAACAACAAAAGAAGGTGTCATAGACACCTTATAGTTCCCATTTCTGTCTTTTGTTAGCAGCTGCTCAGACAGACTGATACATTCTGGTCCAAGAATTTTAAATTTAGAAAGACTAAATTAGACAAAGAAATTTAGTAGACAGGAGACTCATTAGTAGAGCCAGGGATTAGCCTTATATTTTTTTTTACTTCATGTCTCATTTTTTTTCCTAAAATACTTTGACAATATATTAGAAAAAAATCTAAAAAGTTGTGGCAGAAGCTTGTTTGAAGAAGGACTCTTTGCAGTCATATCAGGGACTTTAGGAAAGTCAAGATTAAGGTAATACTTTAAATTGGGACAAAATACAGAGCCACAAAAGGTTTTTCATAGCAACATAATTTTTGTAGTAGAAGTCCAGCACTAAAGAACTCAATAGATGTTGGAAGCATAATAATTAGTTAATTGCACTGGAGTTTTACCTTGCTTTTATAGGTAATTTTGAAATTTCAAAAAATAAACTCCTTTAGATTACCAAAATACCTAAAAAAAACCCAAACCAAACAAAACAAAACCCAAACAAACAAACAAAGCCAACAGAAACCCCTATCAAACAAACAAAAAAACCCACAACAAAAATCCATTAAAAAAAACCACAGGAAAAACAAACAAACTAATAAGAAACCCAAGCATAAAAAATCCTACTATCTTTTCAGAGAAGAGCATATTCAGACCTGGAAGTGCTAGAAGTAAGAAAAACAATGAACTCCAGAAGGCAAAGTTGTTGAGTTGTATTCACAGCTTAATAGGGTGTATTTTTTGTATTTTTCTAGTAGAACTTTTTTGTTGTTTTACGAAACTGTATTACTTATTTCATAGTGCAAATTTCTAAAATAAACCAATATTTTTAAGTTCCTGAAGTACCAAAGAAACCTGTCCACAAAGAGAAAATACCTCCTGCTCCACATAAAGAAGAACCTTCACACTTTACAGGTACAAGAAATTTTGAGTGGGATTTGAAGGATAAAAATGTTTTCATACATAAATTTTTAATTGTTTTGAGAGCATTCTACTTATCATGAACTAAGGTTTACTTAACTGCTTACTTACCACAGTATAAAATTAATTGTTCTCAAGGGAAAAATTAGCTGCTACTTGAGATCAGCCCAAAGGAAAAAAAAAATAAAAATAAAAAGTGACAAAGCTTAGATAGACAAGGCCTCTTGCACTCAAGGTAGTAGCTCAGTTTAGGACATAGCACACATCTTTCTTTTGACAAGCTGCAGAAGTCATATCAGGATAGAATAAGAGATTTTTTTCATTCCTTATTTGAAAGCATCCTCATTTTGCTGGTGGTTATAAAATAGACCTGTGTACCTTAAGAGGAACTTGAATATTTGTTTATATTTGTTCTTTATCTTATACACTGTATAGTTTTCTGAATATATTCTAAGTTAAGTGTTTAAACTAATATCTTTTAAGTACATGAAGTGTATGAGGAGATGCACATAGAAGAAGAAATTTCTACTGTTCAACGAAAAGAGGAGGCTCCAGCACCTAGAGGTATATATCTTCATCATCTCTTCCTGCAATTTACTAAGTCATGAACTCCAGGAAAATTAAATTATTCATGTTCATGGTTTAGTTCTTGTTCAAAGTAATTAATATTTGTATTCATTCTTTTAGTACCCTACTTATACAAAAAACTTGAGATTTTTTATGATTGATCTTTCTATCCTTAAAATGAACTAATATCTTTAAAGTACCCACGGTCATTAAGAAAGCTCGTCCAGAAGAAGTGCCTATTGCTGTGCCTAAAAAACCAGAACCTACTCCTGTGTCTAAAGAACCAGAGCCTACTCCTGCGCCTAAAAAACCAGAGCCTACTCCTGTGCCTAAAAAACCAGAACCTACTCCTGTGCCTAAAAAACCAGAACCTACTCCTGTGCCTAAAAGACCAGCATCTCCACCATCTAAAGGTACTCTGAGAGCCTAGTAGAACTGAGGTCTTTTGCTGATAAACATCTTTACTGCTTCTTACACAGTTTCCGATTTAATAGATCATGGTCCACTTGTGTCAGATTTGTGGCATTTATGTTGTATGTGTCCCTGTGTCTGTTTCTTAACTTGTGTCTAATTCATAAAATTAAAATCAGTAAATACCTTCCGAGTGTGTGAATTACCTAAGAAAACTATTACTGAAGAAAAACCTGTCCTTCTGCCTAAAAAACCAGAAGCTCTATCTGCCAAACTCCTTTCTCTACGAGTTTCATCTGTCCCTTGTATTGTTGTTGTCAAAACATTAAAAATTAGTTGAGTTTATCTATTTCTTGTAGCCAAAAATAACCTAGAAATTGTATCAGAAGCTAAACAAAAAGGGACTAGAAAAAAGGAAAACTCTGACTGAGTTAACATGCAGTGAGATTTACAGAACAAACATTTTCACTTTGTGGGTACTGTGAACAACCTCAGAAATTCTATCAGTACTCAAGCAAGAAGTATGTGTATTTCCTGTTTCACACTGCTCATGTGAAACTTAGGGGTCAATGGATTTAACTGTGAAATAGAATTGGCACAGAAACCAGTTGTTACAATCCATTCAGGTATTCCAAAAGTTCTGTCTGAACTAGCAGTTTGTGTGGCACGTCCCCACTGCATGACAAAAAGTCAGTTCAGACTTGTTCTTTGCCAGATAGAACCATGAACACTTTTCAGAATTTGTAACTGTTGTCAAAGCATCCTTGTATATCTATTTGTTTTGTCTTATTTCTCTGTATTGGATGTTTTATCTTTGTAATTTTTAAAACTACAATTATTTCTTTAAATTGTCTAGGTACCTAAGAAATTAATAGATGTTGCTGTGCCTAAAAAGCCAAGAGTAACGCTATCTAAATCTTATATGTCAGTAATGGTAACTTTCTGAGGAGATTTCTCTTTCTCTTGGGCATTAGTGTTTATAGTAAAACTAATTTATAAAAATCCTAGTAGTACGTAATAGTATACAACATTGTTGCATGTCTTATCTCTTTTTATATCCTTTGTTTATTTTCTTTCCGATGTGGTTCTTGTGATACTCTTTCCTCTTAATAATTTTAAATGCTTTAAATATTAAAAAAATGAATGCTGTTTTCCTTAAAGTGCCAGAGGTGCCCAAGAAAATTCCAGAAGAGAAAGTAGCCACTGCTGTCCCTAGAAAACCAGAACCACCACCAGCCAAAGGTATGTTGCACTACAGAAAACTAAAATTTGGAAGAGGAAAAGAACCTTGATTGTGCAGATTAGTTATTTGATTGTTTGTTTGTGTTTTCCTGTTATTTTTATTTTCTGTGCCCACAGTTCTATATATGTTACTGTTTTGAAAATTCTTTTTTTCTGATTCGTAGCTGTAATCAGTGTACCAGTATGTTAGAAATATTGATGTGGCTGGGCAGGGATGAGACTGACACTTGAGAACAACAGGAGAAATCTTAAGAGAAGAGGAGAAAAGAGGGTCTCTGTGATGTGAAATACTCCTGACAGATAATGAAAAATTAGCCCCAAAAGAGAGTATAGGATAGTGATACAGATGTCTAATAGAGGAGAAAACCCTCCATGCATAGATGAAAAATTGATATCATGAAGCCATCACATACAGAAGAATGTGACAAGGAATACAAAATGGACAATGTCAGTCTAAGGGAAATAGAAATTCAGGAAATGGTTGAATAAAACAGAAAAATAATCTAGTGTAAAAGATGACACTCCAGAAGACTTTGAGGTGTCTCCTCAGATTATACAAGGGCATAAAATAACCCTAAGGCAATAAATATGTCAAATCAAAGGGTCTATTAAAAACATTTGCAATTCTACTGAAAAGTTCTGAACGTAACTGTAAAATTCCATATAATAACTGAAAGTAATCTCTTCCCTAAAGGGCGTGAAGGACCCAAGGAAGTAGTTGTAGAACAAAAAATCAAAGTTGCTGTGCCTAAAAAGCCAGAAGTTACACCAGCTAAAGATACTTGACATTATGACAAAAGTAACAGAATCAAAAAAATCACTCTTTTATTGTTTTAACAATATAGAACACAGTATTTTAGACCTCTCTTAGCATTTTCTTCTGTTGTCAAAGTTTTTTCAAGTGAACAAATGTGTTGTGTAATAAAAATTGTTCTTTGTAGTTGTGCTTTCACTAATAGTGATCTGCTGGTATGCTTTAATGTTGTTTATGAAATTCTCATAGTAAAAAGTTATTGATATTTTTCATGTGCCTGAGATACTAAAGAAAGTGGTCCCAGAAAAGGCTTCAGTTAGAGTATCAAAGAAACCAGAACTTCCACTGACTAAAAGTAGCTGCTGCACACAAGAAAACCCCTTAATTGTCTAGGGTACTATTTCAACATGGTGGTAATTTACTTTTACTATAAATATATTATAAAATATTTTTGTTGTTTGAATTGTAGTTTTTGTATCTGTACCTCAGTGAGGCAGCAGAGAGAATTTTCTGTAGGCAAAGGTAAATTACATGTTCACATACAAAACCACTGATGCTTTTCATGTCCCCAAGATTTACGTTTTCTTAGTGTCTGAACACTACAGACATATCTTTGAAATGCATAAAAATAAAATTAATAATTTTTTTGAAGTACCTGAGGTGCCCAAGAAAGTGGTTTCAGAAGAAAAAATACACATTGAAGTTCCTAAAAAACCAGAACCTCCACCACCTACTAAAGGTACATGTTCAATAGTGATGAGATTGCACACAATCTTTAATCTGTTTCTTTAAACACTACCCTTAAGTTTGTGTTATCTGCTTTTTTTATGCTCTAATATTTGTAAGTGTTACAGATTGTGTTGTCTTCTTCACTTGTGAATAACTCCCAGTAAGTAACAATGGCTACTAATGGTGTGCAAATAGCAATACGAAAAAAACCCCAGTCTATTTATCGGATTGGGGTTTTATATGATGGTGTGTTATTTTTCGTCTTGTGCCTATTGTTGCCTTTTTAATTCCTATTCTTCAAACTCCTAACACTAAAACAAACAAATGTCTTTAAAGAACCAGAGGTGCCGAAGAAAGTTGTTCCAGAAAAGAAAATACCTGTGCCTAAAATACCAGAACCTGTGGTTGTCCCAGAACCAGAGGCTGCACCTGAAGAACCAGAACCTCTACCAAAGGAAGGTAAATTTCAACACTAACAAAATAACAAAAGCAGTGTTTTTCCTCTTTTCTTTAATATTATAATTATAGGCCTTCTGTTTTCTGAGATTCTATGTTAAACTTGTTCTATCCACCTGCATGTGTGTGTGAAACAGACATACATGGTTGTTTTTGAAAAATAGGGGCAAATCTTACGTGTCTGAATTGTCTGTATTTTATATTTCTTCTTACAATTTTTGATTATTCTTATCATTCTACCTACTTGGGTTCATGAAAACAACCACAGCTAATATCTTCAAAGTTATAATAGAAGAAAAGAAAATACCCATTCTAGTAGTTGAGGGCAGAAAATATCAATATGATTGAAATTCCAGAAGCTCCGTCAAGAAAAACTAGATGCCATCACTGATATTTCTTAAAAGTATCTTCAGCTAATTCCCTGCAGTGCTATTAATATCTTTTGTCCCGTCCATTCTGCTTGAAATTATCATGGATTTTACTTACTGTTTAAGTTATACTATGAGTGCATGTGTGTATGTCCATATGGGGGCATGAGTTTTGTGAGGGGAGAGTGTGTGTGTACACTTGAGAGAAAAGAGAAAAAAGCCAAAATGTCATATATTCATCATTAAAAAGGGCAACATAAATGATCAGTACCTGAAATGTTTTTAATATTTTCATTACAATTGTGTTTTTGTGTTTTATGTTTGACTTAATTTTGGCATGATTGTCAGTGCCATTGTTAAATTTAGAACTAATATCTTTTATATACATAAAGTGGCCAAGACAACTTTCCCAGAAAAAGAAGTACCTGTTCCAGTTTCCCGAAAACCAAAGTCCATTGCAGGACCCCCAAAAGCAAAGCCTCAAGAGGTGGAACTGCAAGAACCGCAAGTGGCTAAAGTGGCCCGAAAGCAAAAGGTTGTAGTGGCAACTGAAAAACTAGACCGTTTTCTGACATCTGAGGAGCCCGAGACTGTTTTGACATCCCAAAAACTAGAACCTGTTGTGGCATCCCAAAAACCAGAGCATGCTGTTGTGCTTGAGAAACAAGAATTTATTGTGGTATCTGAGGAACCCAAGCCTGATGCAGAGCCCCGAAAACTAAAACATGGTGTGATGCCCCCAAAACAGAAGCCTGTTTTGGAACACCAAGAACCAGAACATGTTGTAGTGCTTGAGAAACAAGAATTTATTGTGGTATCTGAGGAACCCAAGCTTGATGTGCCACCCCAAAAGTTAAAACATGGTGTGATGCCCCCAAAACAGAAGCCTGTTTTGGAACACGAAAAACCAGAACATGTTGTAGTGAAACAAGTTGTAATGAAACAAGAACATGTTGTAGAGAAACAAGAGTTTGTTGTGATATCTGAGGAACACAAACCTGATGCAGAGCCCCGAAAACTAAAACATGGTGTGATGCCCCCAAAACAGAAGCCTGTTTTGGAACACCAAGAACCAGAACATGTTGTAGTGCTTGAAAAACAAGAGTTTATTGTGGTATCTGAGGAACCCAAGCATGATGTGCCACCTCAAAAGTTAAAACATGGTGTGATGCCCTCAAAACCAAAGCCAGTTCTGGAATCCCAGAAACCAGAACCACTTATAGCCCCCAAGGAACCTAAGCTCACAGTGGTGTCTGAGGAGTCAGAGATAGTTGAATCAACCAAAAAATCAAAGCCTGGTTTGGTGCCCCCTAAAACAAAACATTTTGTGCTGACCCAAAAAACAGAGCTTGTAGCAGCTGAGGAAACAGACTTTGCTGCAGATTTCCAAAAGCCAAAGCCTTTTGCAGTGTCCAGAAAATCAAAACCTGTTGTGGCACCCTGCGAGCCAGAACCTGTCATACTGCCTGAGGAACCAGAAACAGTTTTAGCACCCCAAAAACTAGAATCTTCTACACCACTTCAAAAACCAAAGCCTGAAGTGGCATCTGAAGAACCAGACCTTGTTTTGGCACCGGAGGAACCACCACCAGCCAAGCTGCCCGAAAAGCAAGAGCATATTGCTATACCTAAAAAGCGAGCAGCTGCACAGACTAAAGGTACCTCTTCTTATGCATAGGATCTCTTTTCCTTCTCTTGAGTGTGTTATGTTTCACTGCTCATTTTAAAGCTTAATAAACATAACTAATATCTTTAAATATGCAATGCCTGAAAGGTATTACCAGAACAGAAAATTCCTCTAACTGTTCCTGAGAAATCAAACACTCCATCAGTCTACATGTTATCATGAATACATGACAAGCACACCTAGTCTTCTCTTAAGTATGATCTTAACATCTTTTGTTCTGTCTATCGTTCTGGATCTGTTTTAAATGATGCTTGCTAAACAAATTGCACTGAATATGAGCGTGTGCTAATTTGTTATTTCAGAACATTTCTGTTGTCCTCTGTGTTTCAGTCTCTGTACTTACATTGTTTAATTGTTGTTGTAAAATTAAATGCACTAATATCTTTGAAGTGCCTGAGATGGCTGAGAGGACTGTTCCAGAGGAGAAACTGCCCCCTGCTGTATCTAAAAAAACAGGAGCTTCGCTTCCTAAAGGTACATGTCACCACTATTATCATCGTAAGGAAGGGTGTTTTGGGGTTTTTTTTAAAGAGTCTCAGTTCAAATTGATCTTTCACTGTATACTTTGATATCAAAAATGTGAGAGATATACCAAATATGAATTGCTGTGCAGGGGTGTCAAATATTTCCTCAACTAAAACCATACAAACTTTTGCTGTACTAGGTTTAAGACATATCAAGCAGATATGATGAACTTATGTCTATGAAAAAATGCTAAAAACTTAAAGATGCTAACAAGAGAATTAAATCATAAACAGTTGTTCACATTATTAATAGGGATGGCTTAGTACATGGTTTAATGGGGCTTGGCAGTGTTAAGTTTACAGTTAGACTTGATGATTTTAAAGGTTTTTTCCAAACTAAATGATTCTAAAATTCTATGAGAAAACGTTCATTCTGCCACCAGATTCTCTCCATCTGAAATACTGTGAAGTACTGCCTCAAAGTAATGATATAATCATTCAAAAGATTTGAATTAATATAAGAGGAAATACTTATAAGCAACATCTAGTGATTAGAATGGAAGCCAGGAGATGTTAGAAGGAAAATATGATAAGTTAAAGAAGAGAGGAAAAATGCAAAGACAGAAAAAGAAAGGTGAAGTAAACCCGAAGGATAAAAATAGTGATATTATCCAAGTAACAAGTAAAAAGATGACAGTAACTACCTAAACCAGGACAGAACACACAGTCTTTAATGAAACATGGCTGATGCACAAATACAGTCAGATTCCATAAGTCCCTGATCATCCATTACTGAGAAGCCATATGTTTTCTACATTTCCACCTTGACTGAGAAACTAAGACCAAACCCAGAATTCCCATCTCCTGTGTGATGTTTTGACACCCTGGTCATTCCACAGCTTTGAAACAAAGCATAACTGATGACTGAATGTAACCACAGCACTTTCTCAAAACAGACTGTGTGAATATACTATTGATTGTCTTATTGTTTCGTATACATCTGCAGTGCTCACAAAACTAAAATATACTAATATCTTTGAAGTGCCCAAGGTGCCCAAGAAAGGTGTTCTGGAAGAGCCTATACCCGTAACTGTGCCAAAAAAGCCAGAACCTGCCACAGTTCGAGGTACCTGTCACCCTGTGCATCAGTCTGAATGAGACTGTTTCTTACTGTCTTCCATGTTACTTCTGATGTCTGTTGTCCTGTTTGTTTGTGATTTCATGACATTTCTACATCCTGTGTTAAGTAACAGTTAGGAAATTGATAATCTAGTATTTTTTATCAACAACTCAGGTTATATTTTGAATTTGCTGTTTTGTTCTCATGTTTTGGATCAGTAGATACAAAAATAATATATTTTAGCAATTTGTCATAAGATTTTCATATGGCTGGCCAATTCTGTTATCTTAAATTGTCACTGAATGTCTACATGAGTCTTTAGAGAGACTCAGGTAGTTTTTATGACAGACATAAATTTTTTGAAATGAAAACCCAATTTTTACTCAGCAATGCACATGAGTGCAGTGAGAAGTGACAGTGTTTAGAGAAAGTGCTGATAATTTGGGGGTTTATAAGGAAGAAAAAGAATCATTGTAAAATCCATTGCAGCATACAGGCTGTGGAAGTTGCCACAGTGCAATGAAAATTGAAGCACAATAGGTAATTAGGGTAAGAAAATAAGCCAATAAAAGGAAAAGCATAGGCAAAGAACAGAAATAGAGGACAAAAATAGGGAGAAAAGAGAACTATTGTGTCCTCACCCTGTCTCTACCCAGACTGCTGAATTCCAAGCACCAGCAGATTCATGAGGAATGGCACAGATTAGATATGGGCTGGGGTTGGTCCCAGGGAAAAGCCGGATCCCAGCAGGGCTGAAAATGACAGTCTCTCCTCCCAAAGAGGGAAGGCTGCTAAATACAGAGCAATGTATCCTAATTCACCCCTCAAGCTGTACCTCAACATAGCCAACAGTTTTCTCACAGAACTCACTAGGCAACACTCCTCTGTGCCTGTGCTGTGTGAGGTGTTCTGTGTCTGAGAGCGAGAGAGAGCAAATGAGAGAGAGAGATGGGTTGATGTTGTGAGACCCGTTTGGTTACTTTCATGAGCGCATCTCCAGTCTCTGTTTCATTGTGCATCTTCCTCTTTATTGTATAAAACTGACTGTTACTAATATCTTTGAAGCACCTGAGGTGCCCAGGAAGGTTACTCGTGAGGAAAAACTACCTGTGGCCACTGCCAAAGCACCAGAGCTTCCAACACCCAGAGGTACCTGTCTTCATGGATAACTTAACAAAGGAGATACTTAATCTTCTTCTCCTAAGCACTGTCCTACCCTCTCTTGGGCTGTCTCTGATTCCTGACTGAGACTGTCAAGGTTGTGCGTGTTGGGGAAAGAGTGCTGCATGGGTGTGTGAGGTTTTGAGCTGGTGTTGTGATGTTCTGTGTCTCTGTTGCCCTGGTTTTTGTTCCTACTTGGCATG